CACACTGGTCCCCTGCCAGCTCTTGATTCGTCGTACTGGTTCTGGCGCATGCTGTGGAGTCGTGTGCGGAAGAACTTCGACCCAGCGGGACATCTCCGTGTTTCCCAACGTACGCGGCGGAACTTTGATGACCACCTTCGTGGCAGCGTGCGCAAGAGCTTCAGACAAGTACGGCTTTAGGCGTGACATGAGTGTGTCTTCAAAAACCGCGAGACCTTGTGTTTGTGAATATAGTATGTGAGCGTCTTTCAATTACTCCCGATACAGCTAATTGTAACACACGATTTTCATCGATCCCTGATATCACTGATGGGCCAACCCAAACATCCAAACTTGCTGTAGATGAGACATCAGCATCTTGCCCAGTTCATTGATGGGATCAGTGCGCTGTTTACATCTCGACCAATCCGTGGAGCACCATAAGCTGTCCAGGCCGGTCCGCCACATTTGCAGAAGTAGGATGAACAAAGGTTTCCATGCGCATAGGACACAAGTTCTTCGCGAATGCTGTGAGTCCTGTATCTGAATGAAAGGAACTAACAGTACTTGTATGACTCAGGAGTTTCTTATTCTTATTTTGTCCTCGATATCCTGTGTACCGTCCTGGGAGTGAAAAAGCACTAGTACTGTTGGCAATACGAAGGTGGCCAGATTTGAGATAGCAAAGTCCTTGAGATCTGAACTGCATCAACTATCGGCGGTGGACATATCTCATAGCTTCATACATGGTCGATGCCGATTCGTATGCTGATACTAGTAGTTTGTCTTGTACGCCCCCCAAGAACCACCACACATACCAAACGGACCGGATGATTTGCAAATTATATTATCGTAGTGCTTCGCGTACATGATTCCACCCTGCTTCAATACTTTGGAAAAGTGATCGCGCTTAAGATAATCGTTCAAAGTACAGCAGTTGCTCAACTCGTGCTTATCTTAATTAAGATGCCGGCATGCCACTGTACTATGGCCAACCTCCTGTGCATGCACAATTAAAGAGCAAAACCACCGATGGCAGACCCGTGGGTTAGCTGTTGATTGTAGCTAACGGAATAGCATCGCATTTGTCTGAATACCATATGCTAAAGACCAATCAGCCTCAACTCAGTGTACACCGCGACTGCTGGTTTTACGAGAGATTACATGTTACACCCCGCACAGCAATTTCATCGACCTTGGACTTATCTCATCGATATGATGCATCCGAACAAACCCCGCCGCGCGGGGTATCCGATACTCGGCGGCGACAAATCAGAAACAGAATTGCAAAACGATGTGGTTGCTGTACGCGGGTACTTCGATGCGATGCGCCAGATTTGATGTATCACGAGGTCATCTGCGATTGATTCTGAACACGTTCGTTGGGAATAACGATATGATGAGTCCATTCGGTCCGAGTATCGCAGTACGAGTCATCAGTAAGTATCCCCCATCGTAGCTGCGGACGTAAGTTATCATGATCATAATCATATACAAGTCAATGTGATATATTCGGGGGGGGTTATCATTCCCTTACGTCAATACGCTCATAACAGCAATTTCGCGGGACGGGGGAAACCATCTTGTCGCCTGAAAACATCCGTAGACGTTTACATCACATCGATGAGTTGAATATTGGGGATAATGTAGGGGTTTTGTAATTGGCGGTACTAACAAGAGGCCACTGGTCAGCTCCTAGTAGCAAGAATACAGCACATGACCTACGTTGGTAGCAGCTTCGAAAGCACAAGCATACTTAACCAGGCTGGCCTCGCTGAACCGCCTGCCATAGAACGACAGACCAAAGCTAAATAAGATAAAGAAATAAGTAGTCGATACGTAGGTAGAGAACACCATGCCTTACGGGAAGTTCGGACCCAGGGACACAAGCGTGCCGCGTGAGTTATAGGTCACGTTCGTGGTGGCGGGGTAGTAGCCAAGCGGGACTGTGACGATGGGGTATCCGGCAATGGCTGCATATCCCGGTGACATCGAGCTTGGAATGATCAGGGCATCGAGATCATATTTTTCCAAAGCGCCAAGGATTGCTGGGTATGTTGTCAATATAATGTAGATGGCATCAACCGCTGGAACTTACTGGCATTGGATCCATAATAATATTGTTCAAGTAGCGCAGTATAATAGTCGGCATCTCCCATCGTGATGTTAAGACTCGCAGCACTGAGCCACCTGATGCGATTTGGAGATTAAGAAAATTAGATCCAATCATGTTGGGTCAACTTACGTTGCAACGTTACGGTTAGGCTGTGCAACATATACCTAGTTAATAATAATATATCCGTTAGTCAAGCAACGCACGTAGTCCTCTGGAACATAGGTCTCCGTAAAGTTGATGAGCTGTTGGAGGTCGCTGTAAGGCAGCACATAAATGAGCGAGGAAAACTGATCAAGAGTCTGAAAACATACGTAATACTGTTGGGATTGGTCGTCATTTCGTTGAAGTAGTTTGCGACGTCATAGACAAAGTCAGCACCGACAACCGGATCCGAAGTGTACTGAGTGAAGAACACTATCAGTTACAAAAAGCTACAATTGCACGAGAGCCCCACACTCGACCCAGTAAAGTTCAAATATCCGGCAAGGTCTGGGAAATCGGCATTATCCACTATCGTAGCACCAAGCTGCTTGAACACGTCGATGGACGCGTTAAATGCTGTAATTTCTGGACCATTGGTTGAAGACACCGTTATGGCATTGCGCGGGATGCCAATCTTGACATTTTCTAGACCACTGCTACTGCACTCGGCCGCATAATCAGGGATAGTTTCGAATGGGATAGCAGATGTATAGTTGTCGTGAGAATCTTGACCTATTGAAATTTCAGACCAATAGGTTCGACATGCATCAGAAAAAAAAACGCGCCTGCAATCACGGACAGGATGTATGCTGCATCCATCATTGTTCGCGTCAAGGGACCAACGGTATCCTGAGTCTGCGAGATCGGGACAACAAGGTATCTGCTGGTCAACCCGACAGACTAAAATATTCCAGTACGTATAGATCCATAAATCAAGGCAGACATAGGGACATACAGGCTTAATTCCAGTCAAACTATTTCTGCTCGAAGGAGAGATAATAGAGCCAGATGTCTCCGTCCCCACAGCAGCAGCTGCCAAACCAATAGATGAAACGACGCCAGGACCACTGCTAGATCCAGACGGGTCCTGCATCGGGTAATAGGCACCCATAGTCTGGCCGCCACGAGACGTCCATCCATTTGTCGAGTTCGACGAACGGTAATTGGCCCATTGAGAAAGATTGCACTTCCCGATGATGATTGCCCCAGCAGCTTTGAGCTTTGCTGCAACCGTGGAATCGCTCGGTGGAATCGCACCGAGCAGGGCAAACGAGCCGGCTAATATCATATGTTGAGCTGAAACGACATAACAGATTCGGTATTTGTTACCGACCGGTGTTATTCATCTTATCGAGTGTTGCGATGTTGTCCTTGATGCATATCGGAATCCCGTGCAAATTTCTATCAGACAATCAGATCAAGGAACATGGAAATCAGAATAAATAACAATATACCCTCTGGTGGATCCGTCCGCTCTTTCAGCGTCTAGAGATGCCGCTATCGCAAGAGCATCTGGGTTGGTCTCGATGACCGCATGCAAAACAGGGTTAACCTCGTTTATGCGAGCCACGTATGCCTTTGAAAAAGAGGATGAAAATGGATGAAAAGAAACGAGCAGAAATCCATACATTCACAAGGTCTACACTGGTGAATGTGCCAGCCGCAAGGCCAGATTGGAGATCATTAATTGTCGCGTATAGTAAGTCCGGCAGAGGTTGTCCTAAAGCAACTACTTAGCTTTTGAGATAGAAGCTCACTAATCTTGGCATACCATTCCTGGGACTGATTCCGTACGTGACGCAGGCTACCCCGGAAACCACTGACAGCAAGGTCGAAAGCACCAAGCTGAGCTCGATCACAAACATGGCGATGCTGGAGAATTATTTCTACACGCAGAATTTGCTTATGCAGTACCATAATATATACTATCATCGAGCTTCAGGATATGATGAAGAGTGACGTCGTTGTCAGCGTACGGCATAAGTGATAAGGTGAGTATTATTGTGCACGTACATGAGGCATGTGAAACACTTGACCACTTGGCAGAATCATCTGGAAGTGTCGCGTGGTATTAACACCTAAATAAGAGTTGCGTGATCTTATCTCTAGCACGATGAGCACGTTTCATCTCCCCGTGACCAGGCGCCTACTATGTTCAAGGCTTGACGGTGAGCCGAGCCCTTGGCTTGAAATTCTGAATAGAGAAATGAAAGGAAATGAAGGATCTCTCGGAACTCCTTAACACAACCGAATTGTATTCTTGAAGGCACCCTTCCGCGGGATTACGGATAGTGCCAGGTCATAGTACGGGAGAGGCCTTGTCAACGAGTTACAGAAGTGATCAGTTGAAGGAGTTGTGGATCTCACCTTCTGCCCTTCCAGAAGTCACCGCAGTAGAGCGCCTTTACATAACAAGGCTTTTGCCACAAGAATTAAACTTTGCAACGAGCACGAAGGTTTCCGAGTCAGTAACGTGTCGTACAGCATCTAAGATGCTGGAACTGCCGGAACCGCTAACTTGAATGCGACCTGCTGCGTGGAGTTTTGGGTAGTAGGTTTGAAGCTGGTACACGTCTAAAGAACTGAAGGTGCTGGGCACACGGCCCGTCTTCCGGCCGGCGGGTACTCGCAGTGAATCAAGCTCTTTTCGGATGACACTGGGCTCACAACTCCCCATTCTCCGATGGCTGTCTCATTTGTTTACGTATACCTTCTAGAAGGATAACTCGGAGCCAGTTAAGACTGACATTCAGGAGATGGACCTTAAAGGGGCTCATCAGTGATGCCGCATCGTCGGCATCAGATTTCAAAAGTATTTTTAACCAAGATGTGATAACCGGTACATACGGTGCAACAACTCCGTATCGGATGATGATATCACGATTCATAACAACTACAAGGTACCAGCGGCAATCTGATCGATCGCACCCTCGCTCTCATGTCCTCTCCGAGCACACGGCAACGTTCCCAGGGATTCCATTCAACACACGTCCAGCTTGTTATTCCACGTTCTGAATTGACGCCGTGTGACGTCCCGTAGTAGGCGCAACGCTCATGCTTAGACCAGCCCCGCAGCACGGAAGTTCACCTATTTCCGTGACACCAGGAATCCTAACTGCAATGTGGGGAATAATGCAGGAACGGGGTCCGTTATCACGTTCCACATTTGGCTGGTGGCGGCGCAGGCAGTGCCTGAACACATTATCCATCACAGCAGTATGTGCGCTAGACCTTACGACCCCGATACCCTCTAGCCCAGCCAGAAATTTCTCAGCACCCAGATAACACCGTTGCAACATTCGCATAGATTTCCTGTGGCGTGGTATTCGTCAAGGATGCCCATCGCCTCTGAATGGTTGCCACCAGTGAAGGTTATAGCCTTTGCCGTGCCTCTTTGGGATGTTGGCCAAGCGGGTGCACTTTGCATCGTGATCAATAGACACGGAGAGGCGCAGGATCAAATAGGCGGATGATCTTGATGTACAACTTGATGGTGTCGGAAGGGGGATGTAATATATATACCCTTGATACAAAAAATCGTGACAATGCCATCCCAAACGCTAGATCAAAGGGGCTAACTTGAAAGCCCGTTCAAGCCCATCAATCGATCGATTCCCTGCAAAGTCGAAGCAAGTGGCTCAATGAAACCATTGATGTCGCAACCCACGCCGCTCATAGCACCTGTGATTGAACGCTTGATCAACTTCCACCATCATAAATGCGGTATCGGTCAACAATGTAATTCAAGGTGTGCCATGTGAAGAGATGGCTTCAAAAAAACATGGCGTTGCCGTGCCGCCTACAGACAATAGGTGGAGTCATTGTAATCGGAACTATCCGTGGTCTAGGGCTGAGGTCCGGATCTGCAACTCGCAACCCACACACAAACAGTTAGCCCTGTCCACCCGACAGATGTCAGCGGGGAGAATAAAGACACTCACAAATAGAACAATGGCGTCCGTACTCGCAACCGCAGGACATGTTTATTTTCGACAGCTATACATGAATTCGAGAACCGTGTCAAGAGTACTCGTCTACAATTCAAGATCGGCCGGTCGAAATATGAACCGAACAGATAACTGCGACCTTGAGATCATAAGCCGAGACCTGCTACGGTCCTTGAGACAGAATAAAATGAACTCAACTTAGTGTCTGCTGCGTTCCTGGAAATACTTTTAGAACTATTTCCGCTATTTGTTCAGGGACGTGCCTTATGGATGCGATAACTCGCATGCTCTCAGGCTCAGTCCGTGGGGCGCAAAGCCATGCCAAGTGTTTTTCTACAGCATTAAAAACAAGAGGCAAGTAGCGACGGCAAAATGACAGACTAGCGTATCTGTGTAAAACCGCTGCGACTGGAAAAGGTGTCATTTGTCAGATATGCAGCCTTCAGACCGTGGTATGAATATTTTTCATGTGAAAGCAAAATCATACCTAACTGAGGGTGACAACGAAAGGTCGTTGTGAAGCGGGAGAAAATGCCCGAGAACTGGGGCTCATAATTAAAAGACAATTGTAGTGCGCACTATGATCCGCCTTGATAGAGTGTGAGTAAAAAATACGAGAACCTCGTGCGTTAACGTGAGGGAACAAAAATTATTAGTTGCAAGAATGAAACTAATGGGCTCAACGGTGTGTGACACAATGTCTTCCATGAAACACCGGATGATTGGCCATCATGATGGGCGATGATGCAAACGGGGGGGACTAACGAAATCGGGTGATGATGGGCTGTTCGGGAGAGAGGCGCGACTACAGCAGTTGCCTAGATCGAGAACAGAAAAAAGTAGCGACCCAGCCTATCAGCCAATTGTAACCTGAACACGAAGAGGAGAGATCCATTTTAGAGTCTGCCAAATCAAAAAATGAAAGCTTCGGAATCTGATTGATGGACAGGGTCGTTGTGATAGGGTAGGCGATCAAGATGATAACCCGAGGAGCAAATATAGAACAAAGGCCACACTGGATGACAGCAAGTTGAAAGTTGGAGACAATTAACCTGATTGATTATTCCGAGGCAGACAAGGCTTTGGCTGTTCAGATGGGTTGATCAATCATGATGAGAATTTGTATTGAGGATGTTGGCGGGGTTGGCACGTTGGTGAGATAATCCGAGGGGAGTCGCGGGGATTCGCGTTAATCGAAAGATTGCAGGAGCGCGGTGAGAGCGAGCCGCGTGAGCCGCGAGTTGGGTCTAATATTGAAAGTCCGATTACCAAAAGTAATTATAGGTAAAACAAGTTGAAGTAATACATAAAATTAAAATGACAGTGTTTTACTGGGGTGGTTCAACTTCGAAAAAAAGAATGAATTCTTCTCCAGAGAGTGCTACAGGATCTCCGCTTCCCCTTTCCATGTTCTCTCATTCGGATCACGTTCCCGTATTACCGCAAATCGGAATTGAGAGGAAAGATGAAGTTGAATGGCAAGTATACTCGAATACTTTGTATTATTCTATCAAATATACTAACAATTTATATTTAGGGAATCTCGTCATCACCAGTGCTCTACGCCTCTATCTGATCATCGCCTTCCTGATATCCGACTACCCGCTCCTGCACCGGACTCTCCCCTTCTTATAAACATTCCACTTTCAGAATCAAGATCTCAGGAAACAGCTTTAGCTCCAAATTTAACACTTCAAGACCCCAGCTTAGATCAGCGCCGTGTTAGTTCTTTTATATACTTCTAGGGCCGTGCCAAGTTTGATGTTGATTTGATATCAGGTTTCGACATCTTCGCCACTCCATAAATCAGAGCGCTCTCTTGTCTTTCAACATCATCCATCATCACCCACTTATCCTCTTCCTCCCCTTCAAATGCCTCACCGTGTTGACTCAATCCCAATGCCGTCCTCGTACGTACTCCTCATCACTTTCAATTGATTCATCCTGACCTTCTCCTAGTCATCGTCGCGACTATGACTATGACTATGATCATCCATACAGGAGACCTACTCCACCACCAATTGCAACTCTGACCCATTCCCCTTCGCTATCCGTTTCATCATTAGACCGTTCATCCGTCTCCTCCCCGGCGCCACGCCGATCACCCACTGATCGTTCTGTTGATTCACATTCAGCCTACTCTGATGCCTATTATTCCCAAGATCAGATGGCTCGGCAGTCTAGACCGTATCCTCACGACCCAGTCCGAGACTCGGGAAGAGTCTCCCACAGCTATTCTTATACCCCTCGCCCTCATCCTGAGCATAGATACTCCCATGATTCTCACCCATACCATGTGTCTTCTTCCTATACAAGTCCCGCATTAGCTCACAGTGCTGCGAGCAGTGGACGTGACAATCCACAGCTGCCGTATCCACTTCCGGGTCAAAGTTACCATGCCATTGGGTATACGGACGATGCTGCGACAAAATTAAGCGACCGTGTCCGTAGAAGGTGCTTCAATTGCTGTACCACTGACACATCGACGTGGCGCCGTTCTAACTTGAGTCCTGGAAAAGTTGTAAGTTTGCCTCTATGCGTTGATCGGTACAATAATTAAATTCCGTTCTCCCGCAGCTGTGCAATAAGTGTGGCTTGTTCGAACGTACACATGGGCGGTCAAGACCGGATCAGTTTCCTCACCGCAGGGGCGCTTTAGCGACGACGGCAATGCGGCCAAGGACTCCCCCACAATCAACGCATTTACCTCCAATCTCCACTCATGTTCCCCCTTTGGCGCCTTACCATTTTTCTCACCCTTCCATTGCCCCTCTTCAGTCTGTACCTGACTCAAGGAGATCACAGCACCCGAACACGTTGCCGGAGATCCAATCTTGGATAGATGCTCCAGCTGCACGGACCTCCTACTCCGCTCCGTCAGCAGACCGTAATCATGAAAGTGCACGTCAGCGGTCACCTCCCCGCTTGCACCACGTAGATATGCGTTCGTCGAGCGTTCATGAAGCCGTGGCATAATGGAGGAACGTTCTCCCGTGATAGCCCGGAGCTCCGTGGAGGAAAACGAATAACCTAAAAGTTCATGCTTCTATGCCTGCTTATTCGCTACTCGACTAGTCCGTTTTCTTGCATTAATGGCTAGAACGTGCCATCAGGTCACCGCATTCGTCGTAATTATTTGAGTTCAGATACCATTCGCAGTATTCGTATATAAAATCGCAAAACGGCCTATAGTACATGTACCTCTACGATTTTTTGGAGATTTGTTTGTATTCCTATGCATGCCTTTGATTGCTGGACATTGTACCATGAATTGCATGGTTATTTAACGGAGAGCATTTGAAGGAGATGTGGGTGTGTGCGAGTGTCGATCTTGCGATCAATAATAACATTTGCTTCCGTGTTATCCAGTGGCAGTTTCCGTTTTAGGAATTGTGGAACGCGATCAGTTGATCGCATTGATCGATCAAGGGCCTGACAAAGCCTGTCAGATATCCGCAGCAAGAAAGCAAACATTCTAGAGCAATATCCGATTTTATACTCAGATAGCGCCTAAGACCATATATGCCACATTGTACACATGTCAACGCAGCATGCGTGCACAAGCCTATGTGAACTCGGAAGCCCCCGTTCCAGGAACTGGTACCCATCAACGGCCCGGAGCGCGCAATCACCGATTCAGATATGATCGTACGTGATACAACCTCGGGTTGCCGTCGGCCTAACGTTCACTCAGGAAGCAAGACACGTATCAGTAGGTCTACCATTGACTTAATGGAGCCGATGAAACCATCTATACCGGGAATCTCCCTAGCGAGCGTATGGTACACGGATCCAGTCGAACATACACCATGATCCTGTCAACGCCTACAGGTGACATGGCGAGCGTTACAGATAACGTTTTCTTTCCACGGATGAGTTTACTTGACTCTACGACAATGAGAACGTTTTGCCAACAGCTCCCGTTTGACGCCCCAGCACAGCTTTGTGGGTTTTGTTATCCGGAGTATCGCAAGGGGCGCATCTGCCGTCACCTCGGGTGTACCTAGCAAACAGCGATATCTTCAACAGGTCGTCGCAGATCACGGCTCACGGCGCTGCCCCGCTGTCATCTGACCTCCAATGTCTACTGCAACACCCAACGTTGTCACGCTCATACTCCGAGGATATACTTAGAACATTGCATAGAGACGCATGGCACATCGGGCACCCGTTGGTCAAGCTGCCCTAGTGCGGTTAAGACTCACCTCAAGTATATCGGATAATCACTCACTTCGAGTGCTTCGAGGTCCTTGTACGGGCCCGCAAGAACATAGCACCGGAACTTCGCTAAACCTTGGAAAGAAGGGGAACTCCGACTTACCTCGCGACTCGACATCGTCAATTGGCAGCCCAATCGCCAGAACTAGAGATTTGCTACAGGCTACTCCTTGATCCGTGGAGGTCTTCACGTGATAGAAGTATGCATGATGCAACCTTCATATTCTTTCTCATTCTTATTTAATTTTCCATTGAGGCAGAGCAGTCCCTTTAAATTCGCCTATCAAACGACAAGTTAAACCAGGCACTTTTCATTAAAAAGGGGGAATGCAATGCTTCGTCTGTCGGATGGTGGACACAAGACGGCTTCAGTCCTTCTTCTCATGTGAATTAATCCTTACTGAAACTCAGTCAAGACGCACCATGGACCTATTCACAGGACGCCGAGTCCTAATTAATTCTTATCAAGCACACCGGCGCCACTAGCGATCCGTTGAAGAGATCTTGGCAAAAAGATCACATTCGATCAGAAAGTGATGTTCAAGAACGGATATTCAGCAATGCAAAAGACTCGTGACTAAGCTTCTTATTCGCATACTCTGTTCTGTCCCGTCTTACAGAGCAGTCCAGTACCTATGGTGTTTCTTTGACTTCTTCAGTCAACTCTTCCCCAGAAAGAGTTGGCCGACGATAGCCCTCTTCAACTATAGACCGAGCTATTCTGTAGTAAGTGGCATATGCGTCCGCCTCAGCGTCGAATGCCATCAACCACTCTGGCATGGGAAGCTCGAAACTTTTCCCGGAGTCACCAGCTTTGGCTCCATGCCATTTATCACGCGTAGTCTCCCCAACCAGCTGTGCATCACGCACCCGTTGGTACCTGTGCAATGTGATGCATAAGTCTCCGCATCTTTTTGGGACAAATTATTTCACATACCGCATGGACTCCCATGTCCTCGTGGCCAGTGGAACGTTGTCTTTGCCAGCAAGATTCAGGGTAATTGCTAGAGTTGTGGCATCCTCAATAGCTTGAGATGCACCCTGCACGCTTGATCTGCCAACCACATGGTGAGCGAACGGGTTCGGCATCAATCAGTCATACTTCCTTACGGTAAAAATGGGTGAGCAGCATCGCCAATCAATACTACGCGACCAGATTTGCTGACCCAAGTAGGAAGAGGATCGTGTACAAGAAGCTTCCAGTCGATGCATGAAGGAGCTTTGGAGACGAGTGCAACGCACCGCGGGTCCCAGTCTTTCACAAGGTCGAGTATGTCTTCTATCTTACCCGGGGACGACCAGTCGCCATCAACAGCTGTGTTATCTCTATAATTTTACTATTTAGCTCTGAATATCATGCGAAGTGCGATTTGCATACTTGTGAGTGATGAGCAAACAAACAACTTTACCTCCGCCGACAGAAACCGCTATAATGTGCATGTCTTTACCTACGAGGGGTGAATAATGAAGAAAAAACTGGTGGACAAACCCCACCCACCAATCCACGTGTAAAACTGATCCCCATGAATGCTCATGAAGTCTGTCAATGGGTCTGTCGTAACACCGTGCTCTTCAGCATCGAACCATGCTCGATAAATAGCGTAACCAGAAGGTTTTGGGCTGTCGCGGTACCCCTTCATCGATGTTTGCCCGGTAAGTCGACCGGTGGAGTAAAATTCAAACTTACAATAACAAATTGTCTCGCTAAACTCTTCACTCCATCTGCAGCCATGATGACATCGGCATCAAACGTTCTCACCTGTTTGGATTTTGACACCAGCTTTTCCATTCGCTTCATCCTCCCAATATTCCACGACCTGATGTCCCATGCGAATCTCGATACCCAAGGACTTGGCATGCTCAACAAAGATATCGTGAAGACGCCCTCGATGACCACTGTAAGAGAACGCTCCGAAGAGCGGCAGGGACAGCTTTTGCACTTGAATGACGCCTCCGAGGTAATCATGGATGCGAAGGTCTTCTGCAAGACGGGAGATGCACCACAACCTGTTTTGATTTTCAATTAATTTGATCAGAAAGAAGACCATTTTATACTTTTCGTGGAGGCCCCATCTGGCCATGATGCGACCAGCATTTATGCCAAAGCTCAGCATCTGGCACTTTGTCAGCCCATGCGCTGCGAATCGTCACTCCAATGAAACGTACGTCGCCTTGATTCCACCATCAGCTAAGAACAATAGGTGTGTGGTAGTTACTGACCTAGCTGCTTCGATTCATGCACTTTCTCGAGGATCATCACTCGGTGACCCTTTCTTTTGCATTCGATCGCACAGGCAAGACCTCCGAAGCCAGCGCCGACAACGATGACATCAATTCCTGTGTCACTAACGCCATCGCTAGGAAGAGGTACTTGGTCCTGATGTTCTGCCATGATAGTTGATTAGCACAGTAGTGAGAACGCATTATAAGAACTCCAATCGGCCACGTATGCCATACCATATTGAAGATGGACAAATGTGCAATGCGATCGCCGGTTATTGCAATGTAAACGAACGAGACAATTCACGGATCGCAATATGTGCCAGAGCACCATATTTACATGCATCATCGTGGGTACCACGTAACACTGCAGATCCCTTCAAGGGCTTCTTGCGTGTCATTGTGTGAGTTGAATGATATGGACGTCTTGTATAAACTCACCCTATGCCATCATGATCATCATGCAATGATACATCGTATCATCCGGTTTATTTGCCTGCAACAGCACAAAAAGGCTTGGATCGCACGTCGACCTTCTCGGACGACAAGCTATCTTGTACGCCAGTAAGCTCTTGTAGGCATTTCCGAATTGACTCCTTTCCGAGCTCACCCGGCCAGTAGTATCCTACCAGTCCAAGTCAGACTGATGCTTCTGATCGTCTAAGAACTCCAAGGTGACATATCTTGGAATCCCTAGGCGATCAGAATGAAGCGTAGAGTCGCTGTAGTGAACTACCAGCATCTTTAGAAAGTCTCACCATGTTGCGCAGGGTCTGTGAGAACTGTGAGGGTGGTGGTGTCTTGATACGGTATTGAATTGAGTCACATCCTGATATGGTATTGAATTGAGAATGCAACCTTGAAATGACCACGTCATACCCCAGGCCTGCAGGTCCGGAACGCCCTGCAAGAGTACGGTAGCACGAGGAAGCCGCATGAGCAAATATCGCTAGACTGGGCCACCAACAAACCACTAGTAGAAAGATGAATGATGCCGGAAACTTCCAGCAAACTAGTCCCAATGCCCATTACTACAAGCCCGATATGTAGCACAAAGACGTCCCCAATATGCAAATGTCCCCTCTACTGGTACTACTAGAGCAGTCAGAAGGCAGCAAATTTGGTTATCACCGTGCAGCGAACAGGCTCCACTCTCGGGCCCACTCTCATGCTTATTCGAGATGGACCACTGAGTGTGCTTTCAGTATGGCACACAGTCATGGTGCACTCAAGGATCTACCCTCACCGCGACATTCTCGCGTAGTGGGTGCTGCAATGTAAAAGTCAGATCCTCTCTTCAAGGCTGTCGTCAAGCGTTTAAGAAAGTTCATCCTGAGGAAATAATTTTTTTTTTCACAGCCGGATGCGATATCCACTGAAGAGGGCGAGAACAATATTCTTGTGTGCACCACCCAGGTTGGCCAATCCAAAATCAGGAATACCAATCGCTCTCATATATGGCGGACTGTATTGTTCCTGGACCCTTCTTGGTGTGAACTCTATTTCAGGTTTCAGACGGTCCAGTAAACGTGAGTCAGATAAGTTACGGTCGAATCGTAAATCAAAGTTCGAAACGCACCTCTGGGGCGAGTGCAAAAACAACATTTTATTTCCACCCATTTGCAGGGCTTTGCCTTTTGGTGAATCCATGAAGAGAGAATATGCGACATCTCTGTCCTCGATAAATTTTTGATGAGCGAGCCTCCGAACGATGACTCTCTCCTTGACAAGAGTGCATCGGAAAAGCACAAGTATAGAAAAGGAACAGTTGCCACGCCATTTCCAGGTGTGTAATAGGCTGCAGATAGTATTTTGAGGGTGGTGAATTGTAGAGGAGCCGAGGGACTCGTCGGCCATGAGACAGGAAGGGCAGGGTGGGTGCAACAAGTGTGATAATTTCAGGCCACTGCCTGTACTATGTTACCCGTCATAGTATCAAATGGGGCTGCGGGAATCCTGTCGACTACACGAATAGCTAACTCATCCGCCAAAAAGTCCCGCACAAATGGCACTATCATCGACACGTCAAATGCCGTACAATGCCGTCCCAGCCACACTCACCTGAGAGATAGGAGAGATGATCGCAGAAGGGCCAAAAGATATAAACAGACCAATATTGCTATGGTAATGAATTGTAATTAGACACGAAAATGCAAGCATGAACACCCGAATGACGCACCCCGTAAAGAATCTTGTTGCTGAAAGTTAGCATTTCTCGTGTACCAGGTTCTTGGTAACACCGATACCCTATTCTAACTCCTGGAGCAGATAAACCGATGAGGTAAAGTGCTGCAGAGGGCTCTCAAACAAGTTAGGCATCATCATCATCATCATCACTATCAACGCAAGGATATGATAAGACCTCACCGCCACTCCTATGAAAATATCCGGACGGTACACTGCTCGCACTTGGCTATTAAGCAACCTCACTGGATTAGGAAGAGTCACTTGACCACCAGCCGTCAGGGCCCAATATGTCACGAAAGGGCGATCTTCTCCCCAACACGTGGGTGACGTTTTTGTGAAACTACACCTCAACACTCAAGCTCGTCCACCGGACGATGTTGTGTGCGGACACAGAAAAGGACGAAAGGGAACAACCTAATTTCAAGTAAGGATCTGTATACGAACAAATAAGGATGCCTTGCCGTGATAAACCTCAGGCAACTCCCTGGCGGTCCCCGATACCTGACAAGTTGAGACAACCGGGTGTGCATAGCGCCTTGGTCCTGACAGCAATCAGACCTCTTGGAACTACAAATCATTCACTATCGGCATCCAAAAAGCCGATCCTGTAGAAGATCAGCTTGCAGCAATTCCGGCCATGGATGTCAATTCGGATCTCACACTAGAGACACTGCCCTTGAACTCATCCTTCAGTATCGGGCTTGTTGATGAGTCAAAGGAACGGATAGCGATGAAAGGAGGTGAAGTCACAGTCTAGGGCATATAGAAAGTTTGGTTGTAAGCGCTTAAGCCTTGACATATGCGGTAATCGATTTTTGATGCTGGAGAGTCTGCACACCCCTGACAAACTTTATCTTGTTCTACAAGGTTAATAAATTTCTTCGAATTCCCAATTTCGACCGCAGCATACTTCTCCGATGTCTGCGGCTGTCTGGACATACGTCACAAGGAAACTAAAAAAAATCCAGCGTTCATGACTGCAGGGCCGTCAAGCATGAGCCACCGGAATGCCGCGACCGCAGTTTGATGAAGTGACCGAATGTTGGTCGCAAAGTGAGTCAGCTTTATGATGTGAGCGTTATAACTTATAACCGATAGCCTGGACGGGCAGGCGCACTGCGGATCCCATATGGGTGAGGTGGATGGATTGAGTGAAAAGTCAGAGTGAGACATACTCGGGCAAATTGATACAAACTTTTTTTTGGATGAGCCCGTTCTTGAATCGCGGTCATATAAATAATATCAACTATAAGTCTATAACTCATGCTACATACCGATTGTTCCTGCGGATGTGATGCATGTGATGTTGACCGACATCCAAATCTACACATATTCAAGTTAATTGTTACGACGACTGCTCCATGGCCTATATATCTGTGCGGATAGGACGCTCACACTATGATGCGAGGATATGCCGTGTCTGTCTAGCCCGAGGCTGGCCATGATCATCTGGATCTGGATCAAAGGCATATGTCGTGGACAGGTAGAACTTAATAGATGTTCTGAGGCGGCATACTACAAATTGTCCAGTCAACGGTTAGTGATCATGGCTAGCAGGTGATTATAAGATTGAGACATGTTATTGTGAAAAAGAACCGTTCAAAAGAAACACATGTAAAATGTGTAACCCGGACTCGGATGACTAAGCTAGAGTTGGATCTATGTCAGCTGACATTAAACACATGCTTGCGCTCAACGCCGGTATTGTTATCAGTGAGTTGCCCAAGCTTCCTCCACATTCAATTCGACCACACTATGGCATCTTCAAGCGCTAGAGCAAAGCTTCTCGCTAAGAATGATAACGACGTCGTTATTGTAGCCGCTGTGCGGTCTGCTCTTACCAAGGTATCATCACTGTTATAGTAGAGACCCAGACATGAGGTGCGACTCACTCTACCAATTGTCTGTAGGGCAGGAAAGGTGGTTTCAAGGATACTCGTCCAGAGGAGATCCTGTCAGGCGTTTTGAAAGCCGCCTATACTAGAGCCAAGGTCAATCCCGTCCTTATTGAGGACATCGCAGTTGGAAACGTCCTACCTCCCGGCGGTGGTGCTAGTGCTGCTCGCATGGCCGCCCTTCATGCAGGAATTCCAAACACAACTCCAATCAACACTTTGAATCGTCAATGCTCGTCCGGTCTTGCAGCTGTCAATCAAATTGCAAACCAAATCATTGCTGGACAAATCGACATCGGTATTGGTAAGCAGCGATTCTGCATCTCACCATTCGTTACTGAGGAGTCCTCTAGGTTCTGGAGTTGAATCCATGACATTTGGATATGGCGCTGGATCCTTGCCTGATGGCTGGTCAGATGAGGTCCTCACCAACCAAGAAGCAGAGGACTGTTTGATTCCCATGGGTATCACTTCTGAGAACGTTGCCTCTGAATTCAGCATCTCTCGCGAGGTACAGGACAAGTTTTCAGCTGAGTCTTATCAGAAAGCTGCTGCCGCTCAAAAAGCCGGAAAGTTCAAGGATGAGATTGTCCCTCTGAAGGTCAAGATAACCGATCCGAAGACTGAAAAGGTTTCTGAGATTATCGTCGACATGGACGATGGTATTCGTGATGGTGTCACCGCAGAGAGTTTGTCAAAACTTAAGCCAGCATTTACGAAGAATGGTTCGACGCACGCTGGTGGGTTCTTTGTGATACTCCTTTAAACTTTGCCATCTAAACGTGATACAGGAAGTGCCTCGCAGGTATCTGACGGTGCAGCAGCTGTAGTCCTTGCTCGCCGCTCTGTTGCCAAGCGGTTGGGTCTTCCCATTGTCGGCAAATACGTTGCCTCCGCAGCCGTAGGCGTGCCACCGCGTATTATGGGTGTTGGTCCAGCGTACGCCATCCCTAAAGTTCTGGAGAAAACGGGACTCTCCAGGGACGATGTTGACTTCTACGAAATAAACGAGGCATTCGCATCGCAGGCTGTGTACAGCATCCAGAAGGTTGGCTTGTCGTTTGACAAGGTGAATATCAATGGAGGTGCGATCGCGATCGGACACCCACTCGGATGCAGTACGTGTCTCGTAACTTTGGTGTATCAATTATGTCTTGATGTATCTTCGTCACAGCGGGAGCACGTCAAATTGCTACTGGTCTCAACATTGCGAAACAACGTAACGAGCGAGTGTTCGTCACCAGCATGTGTATTGGCTCAGGAATGGGCATGGCAGCTGTGTTCGTCAGCGAACACTGAAATCCCCTAGTAATAGTATTATTATTATACATAGTACGTATGTCTCGTGTATCATATACTTACTCATGAAACTGTTATGCAACACCAAGATGCGGCCAAACCCGCGGAGACTCTTCAGTGTACAGCTGATCATCTTTAGCCACTTATAGGTCTTCTGTAAATTTAGTTCAAATAGATGTCTGGATATCGTGTTGACATAAATAATATTGATACAAAGATGTGTGCAACAGTTACTAGTGCTAGCCACGTAGAGATTTCCCTCCCATACGGGTCGCCAATGACCTCTGGAATGTCAGGACGAACTTGGTGAAAGGATTCCTTCTCCCTGAGCTGTATAGGTTCAAGATTCTCCAGTAAAAATAGTTCTGAAACCAAGGAGAAACCCAAATATCAACCCGCCAGGTGAACTTTCGATAGAGAAAAATATCTAGGTGAGACACTTTAAATACCTCTCATGTTCCCGCGCACGGACCACCTTTCCCAGATCACTATATATTGCAAATTTGTGTTGTTGGTTTTTCTTCACAGTCACCTCGATGTTGAAGTTGGCGTCTTACAGTTTGGATGATGGACGTAACCACTTCGTTACTTTTACTGTCGAGCAGATGGATGGATGCAGGAGCTGGGCATGCCGTTTATCACTTGTTTATTGTCACTGATTGGACGGTTAATCAGCGCCTGGCACATACTTCACAAATTCACTTTACTTATGTTGCATACCGTATGACGCTGGCCGCTGGTCCGTATCTTGAACTGAATCAAGTCGATCATGGAAAATGGATGCAATGGGCACGCTTCACACCTGTGGTTCTGTTACTTACATTCACTGGCATGTGTGTCGTTTCAGCAACATACAAAAACCCACACTGGCAGGGTCTTACAAGCTGACTTTCGCTTGATCATGTCACAGGCCCGGGTGACAGCACCCTGTCTGGCCTCGCGGCGCGTGGTTGAGACATACACCTGTGGTTCTGTGAGGCTCCGTCTGTGGTGCTCACTAGTGGAAACCATCGTTGCTCGGATATTTGACTTCCTACTTCTTTATCACAGTCTGACTCTTACTGGATTCCACCTACTCGATTTGATGCAGCAAGGACTTCCAGCTTCTATTACGAGCTTTGTTCATTGCTTATTATAGACGTTGATCCTTCAGGCATTTATTCGGATCCCACTCACAAGAAGACAACGTTTTAGTCGTGTTCAAGAAGTGTGCAAAGTGAATAACTATTACGGAGTTGTCACGATGCGATCATCGGGAAGGCTTAGCATCCCTGTTCGATTGTGGATGTACTGGGCGGCGTTTTGTAAGTTGTACATTTACTTGTATCATAGTAAGATCTGAGAGGTTGTTTCTCTTGTCTTGCCACGCGACATATGCAGGGTTGGCTTTACCACGACACTTGAATTACAATTTGAGCACAAGACTTGCTGGATGCTGGGCACAATGCCAAGTTTGTCTCCGTTATATTATAGTTCCTGCTACGGCAGTAAATTGTGTTGAGTGTCTCAAGTTGTGCTCTATAATACTAGCGCGCATCATAATACTGCTGACTACTGTGCACTTTGTAGTTCGGCTGACAGCAATGCTAGCCTCCCGTAGTCAGACCATACACACGGAAGACAATCATCCCGTCTTAATTATGCGGGAATGCCAAGGTACTGTGTGTGCTTTCTTGGCCATGATCAAGTGATCAGGCGTCCTGTCATTTTGTCATTCGGAAGGCTCCCCTTCCTCCAGAACAGCCTGGACGTGACCGAATGGGTTGTGTACGCCTTCAAGCATAATTCCCGCTCAAACGCCTTCGATTCTTTTGCGAAAGACTCGTGATCACCTCCACGACTGGACCGTGGCGTATGAACTGCGTTTTCAGGTTTGGACTCGGGGCTTTATTTGATTTATCAGTTGGTCATGACACCAACCAGATACCTGTTATAGTTCTTTATACACCGGCCGAAATCTTGGCGGCCAAGGTGGCTTGAACCTTCAAGAGATTGTTAAAGGGTAGATTAATTTGCCCTCTCTTGCTATAAGTGAGTTCCGTTTTTTTATATGGGTGACAGTGGGTCTGGTTGTTAGACTGCGCGTTCAGGAAGACATTATACAGCATTGGCAGCGTATTCACTCACTTTACCATACCAAGCAGTTCAGGGGCACTAGTTCTGTGGGTAGCTCCTTCCAGGGTGGGACTGGTGGGGTCGAGCCAATTCGCACACCAGGCTATGGCATTGATTAAGAAGGCCTAAATACACCCATGGGCGCAGCTTCCGAGTCGGAGAAATAGTCCTCTATCGCCCACAGGGCAGGATGCCCTATTCCGTCTTCAGTAATATCAAAAGCTCATGAAATTCCACGCCCCACTGCGTGCGCACTCTCCGGATCAAGTGCAGATCGCCCACTCGACGCTCCTCACTTGGCAGGTAATTACCGCAGCTTTTTCCGACAATTGCCTGCGAGTATAATTATTTAATCGATGTCCCCAGCTTGAAGTCAACCGACATCGCCGTCGGACACTGGGCCCAAACCTTACGGTTACACTTGTGCGTCATATTGTGCAACTGTAGAGCGGAAATGGAAACGTATTGATTTCCCCATCTGCGGGGATGATTCCGCTGTCGCCATTGATTCGGAATCATCGCAGATGAGGCTGCTCTATTGCTCGGATTCTCTCCGGGCATAACTTCATGGAAAATTCCTATCTCAAAAGGGCTTATCTTATTCGTCTTGTTATCGGTAGTAGAGACGAACCGGTACCAACTTTGTCAGCTTCCCTGACTGTTCATTTAACGTGGGTTGACCCGAAATTTTTTTTATCAAAATAACCAAAGCGAATGGTGGCTGATTCGGCAGAGGCATGTCATGCCAAGGTTTCGTAGTTTGAGGTTGCAGAGGGGTTACCCACCCTGGCTGTGGCGTTCATGAGCAGAACGCCGTGAAGCCTACATGGCTGCCGCGGAATGACCTACCTCGGATTGAGATGATTCCCCAGCCCGAGGGTCGGGCAGTAACGGTCGTTTTCTATCCTTTCAATGACCGATCAGTGACTTGAGTGGCATTCTAGCTCAGACTTCGATTAACGGGGGCACTAGTATCGACTAGCAGGGTCGGTGATACAAATCTTAACTCTATTTTTCTCATGGGAGTCCGGTTATTTGAATGCCGCATAGACCCTTCATGTTTTCTTCATGATATAGAGCTTTTTTGCAGGGACGATGGTTCGCGACTTGAAACAAACGGACTCATGTTGCGGACATGGAGTGGTTGGAGGATGAATTGTGATGAAGGCAGTCCGCGGCGCCTGATCGCCGGGGACAGGATGCATGAACTGGACAACTCTTTACGCATGCTTGGAGGCATCATATGTCTTAATGACATCTACTTTATCCAAATGACGACGCGAGGAGTGGCGTCGATAACTTATTTGCTGCGATTAGGTGATAATACCATTTCATTTTGATCAGGGTGCAGCCGTTACCTATGAATATAATGTGAGAACTTGAACTTTGTCTTTCATAAGCTGATCCCACTTGGGTCAAGCGAACAAACTCGCGTACGTCGTAGAACGTCGTCAGATTGACGATATGGTATGATGAACGTGCGTACACGGTTTATCACCGTATAGCAACTTAGTATACAGCAAGAACAATTGAATACATCCGGGCCGATCGGAGAGCTAAGTTGAATGCAAATCAGCTGCGCTGGTCGTGAAGGAGATAAAGTAGCGAGGCAACTCTCCGAGTTCTGTTTGATGCCATGCTGTTTCTGCGCGCTTTACACGAGGTGAGATTGCAATCAACACTGGCATCGAATTGGCACAGACTCAACCACTTGCATCGATTTAATACCAGGTTAGTGGGCCCAGGGGCTGTGGAAAACGTGCAGTTTTACAAGGAGGGTTGATTGCTATATTCGCGGCGTTAAGGCACATGCATCACTTTGAATAATCGATCCAGGCTAGCTAAGGAGCGAATAGAAAAGGTGGATGGATGGCTTCTCATTGGAGTATCCCCATAAGCGAATTCGCACACATGCTGTCAAGAATATGATGTCAACAGGGACGGGCGATCTGCAGTCACTTTGCTCAGGCAAAAGCGGCGTTAGGTGTTTCCTACTTCGTATTTACGTCGCTAACGTCAAACAACATACGATTGTGGGGAAGGTTTTGCCCCACGACACCGCAGCAACCTTTCTCCGTTGATGTTATGATAATATAATATGCTGATGGAATTCTACTAGCGTCGGGAGTGATGCTGACGGAGATTACGGAAGAGGCGCTCTGGAGTTAGCGGCGTAAAATTGTCCGGGTGGCTTCTGCTCTGAAATTGATAGGCTTTCACGGAAAATGAGAAGATGGCGACGGATAATAATACCACTGTGGCAGGAAATCTCACAGAGAGTTTCTGTTCCAGCAGGTTATGGAGGAAAAGTTTGGAGATGAAGTAGTTACCATGAGAATGGCCGCACGTCAGCTGTAAATAGGTATTAGCAAGGCGGAGTGGTACGCTATTCAATCAATAAGCCAGGAATTCGAAGACATGGAAAATTTTGAAATCCGAGGGAAAAGCTTGGTATGATACTAGGAACAATAGGTCGCGGTATCGATGGTCCTAAACTTACGATACACACGATGGAGATGAGACAAATGTGGGCGTCATTCGGATATTATGCAACGCTCTAAGAGGAGTGATTGTTACCAAACATACATCAATGGGCGCAAAATGATGATCCATTCACAAGGCTGAGGTTGATGATCAATGACCAAAGAGGATTGAAGCTCTGGCCTCATGTATGACGCACCTGTTGATATAACCATGTCATGTGTCAAGGAAGGGCAGCCGCGAGGCAGTGACCCGACGATGAGGATGATGAGGATTGTTTGAACTGATAAGAGATGGGAGGTTTCCAAAGGGATTATGGATAGACGCGCAGGCGTAAAAGTAATAAAAGACCTTCCATAATACGTATGATCCGGTGGAAGAGGGCGGGTGACCGTGTTTTCCGGCAAGCGCGGGTCTACGGACATGAAATAGCGGTACATGGCGGCGCGTGCTGCGAGAATTCATATAGGACCGAAGAATGGACCTATCAGAAAGAGCACAGCTGTGGTTAGCAGCGGGTGGTTAGATAGGAAGATAGGATGACAGCCGGACATAGACGGACAACCCGGGAAATGCCGAAATCAAAATGCACTAAAGCTTAATTCCACTGTCATTAGCAAATCACCGGAACTGAATTTTGTGCCTGTAGTCAACGCTTGCTATCTTCAAAGGTCCCGGGACTAAGCCAAGGTGTAGTCTTTTGATTTTATGTTAGCCGGTCAACAGCCGAGCGAGGATAGCGGAGACTAGCGGACTCTAACTCAAGGTTTGTTGAAGTTTGTTAGTTACGAACCTGAGCTCAGCGATCACAGGCTGGGGCACGTAAACATTCATTGAACCCGTACCACACCGATCGATTGGCGCAAGGCCCGCCGGACTAGGCTTCTGTCACTATCCGAAATTTCTCTTATTACTGTCCTTTTTTGTTGCTGAAACACTAATCCAAATTCCCCTTATATAACCGAACAGCCACAGGGCCTGCTTCAATTTAGTCACAGGCAACTACCTTTAAAATCATTCTCCTCTTCTTTCCGGTTCGTATTAAATGCCCTGTCGATCTTGATTTCTCCGCCCCTCCCTTTACTGATTCTCTCCTTGCAACTATGGATAGTAACAGGCAGCCTGACCCAGGCAGAAACCATCCCCCTCCACGTTTAATGGCTTCCTCAAACTCCCCACAAACCCGTCCTATCGCCCCATACCAGCAACAATCCTTGCCTTCTATTCGTCAACTCCACCCCTATCTTCCTCCTTCCGGAATGGCTCAACATATGCCCCCTACTGACCCTCCTTCATACACCTATCCACTCCCAAGTCCTTATGCAGGGCCTTCTGGCTCCTCTGAAATTCAACAACCTCCCTCACAGCATGCCCTCTATGGTCGTTCAGAAATGATAGACTCTGAGCCAGAAGGTGAGATGGAACAACAAGGTCCCGCTAAAAAGAAAAGGCGACGACAGGCTCTGAGCTGTAATGGTAAGTCTTATTTATTATTCATTTACAAATCCGTCGCTCATCGTTATCGATAATCTTTGCTCCCTTACTCTTTTTATCCACGTGACGCGATCTCTACAGAGTGCAAACGGCGTAAGATTAAATGTGACAGGTCGGCCGTTGAAATGTGACCATGTCGCCGCGCTGTTTTGACTTCGCATTTACAGAGCTCAGCCCTGTGGGCCATGTACTAGGCGTGGTGAACAGTCAAAATGTCAATGGCGAACTTTAGAGCCTGTGTAAGCAGCGTCTTTCCTGCACGGAAAGTCCCACCCTTATAAATGTCCAGGGACAAATACGTCAGTCGCGCTGAATATGATGAACTCAAGGCCAGAAGTAAGGCTGAATATGACGAACTGAAGGCTAGACTTGATCACATTGAATCCGTGGTCGCGCGCCTTTTCCCCCCACCAGGCGGCCCTGCCAACGTGCCCATGTATTCAATCCCTGCTGATATTCCAGGGGCGTCGTCATCTGACAACGTAACCTCCTACCACTCAGCCCATTCCTCCGCGGCACAAGCATTGTATGTTTCCCCATCATCTTCTTTCACCCAAGACCCGGCAAAATCACAATCTTATGTCGGCTCTTCCTCACCTCATATCGCGGGGTCCGGAATTGGTCACGGGCCTTCCATTTCATCCTCGTCAAACCCCCAATCAGTCTCACAAAGTGCGGGCCCATCTCATCTCCGCCATCCCTCGGATGCCAAGTCCCCCACTATTGTTAGGCAGTCCCCACTTTCGCTCGCTTCCATCACATCTCCTTACAATGCTGATGCCCAGCCAAAAAACTTCCACGCGCAGACGTTCAGAATACTGGGCGAGCGTCTGCGCCCGGTTCTAAGAAGTTGGAAAGACCCAGTGGAACTTCTTTGCGGCATCCTCAATCTATGGAACATGCTGCGATGTCCAGCTCAGCAAGCATTACAATGGAAGGCCCGTCGATGTCGCCAGGGACGCACCATTTGTCGTCATCGAGGCGTTACGGTGATCCTTCCGTAGGGCGGGAAGGGGGGGATAACAGAGACCGAAGGCAAGGTCCTGTAGAGCGATAGACTCTTCCGGCATTTCGTCGGCTCATAGGTTAATTCTGATCATCATTGGTGGCATTCAGTTGTATTCATTCTGCTCACACTCCACACCACGCGTCAACCTTGTATGAAAAATACCTTCTACAGACTCCATTCCCGGTGTGCCGGACATGACTTTTTCGCTTTAATTTGGCGATCGCATACCCCACTAGCCTCGTTTTTTCTGAACATCTTTCACGACACAATTACGAGATTTGTATTGTAGCAATACCACGAGTCTACTAAGCTTATCCTAAACATGTCAGTAAATGTCTCTAGCGCAGATCATGGTGGTCGCATGTAGTATTCCGAAACTAGTGCAGGGTGCAATCATCCTAGTCCCATACTAGCTTCCCCCGGCTATCGACGGTGGCTTGCATGCCACCGCTAGTTTGCTTACCCCCTCCACGGCGTGATTGATCAATGATCTTTTCACGCTCCAAAGCACGCCTATGTTCGGCAAGTTTCGCCAGTCGCTCGGTCTCAGCGTCAGCTTTAGCATCTTTCACCATCTGATTTCTTTTCGCATTTTGCCGCTGTTTCTTTGTCAGTGCCTGTGGGACTTGTTGTACAAGTTGCGAAGGCGTGGTCGAGGGTCGTGATAAATCTGGGGCCGTGTTAATTTCATAATAAAGTCAAAAAAAAAATAGGAAAAAATTTACTTGAGCGACCCTTGCCCTTCACAATACCCCATTCGCCGTCACCCTCACCATCTGCATCGTTTAAAGTACCACTGCTGTCATCCACATCCTCGTAATCTTTCCAGGAAAATCCTGGTGCCGGCGCTTCATCGGGCCGGGGTTGTACACGCATCACACGCGCTAAACCAGGATAATCCGGGCGCTCAAGCATGCTTTACGAATAACATCACAAGTGGACCAATGAACATATGGGGATGAATGAAGTGAAATTCGACTTACTCATCGACGGCTGTCTTCCTATGTCTGGGCAACATCCGTTCTGCCAACGTTCGACGCTTATCTCCTGGGGTGCCTGCGCCTAGACTAGCATACCCATCCTCATCCGTACGTTCGGCAAATACAGAGTCGCCGGTTGACGGACCCACGTCACTGCTCGTCATATCCGTTGTTATCGCAAGTATTTGATTGTCTGATCCAGTAGCGGTCTTAGCGCCTCGTGCACTTTGACGGGTGTCTATCCGCATCCACGAGGAATCAGTGTCAAATGACGGAGAAGAAGACCGTATTTGCAGCGTGCGCAGTTCCTGTTCCGCTTTTGGAGAAAACACCTCGCTAGGCATGTCAATGTATGTTCTGGGAACATCACCGCCTGACTGCGATGCTAGGGAAGATGACTGGCGTTCAGATGCATCATCATCTAGAGGTGTCCCCGTTGCTTTTTGCTTCTCCTTCTGCTTCTCCGTCTGCTTCTTGACCTTCGTCTTCGTCTTCTTCTTCTTCGTTCCCTCGTTCGTTTTCACCTTTACACTCTGGTCCTCCGAGCTGGAGAGAACGGCATCAAATTCGCCGGGAATAACATGCGGAAATGGAACGACAGTAGGTTCAGGCACGGGATTACCATGCGCAGACGTTGCGGTGGCGGTGGTGGCGGTGGTGGCGGTGGTGGTACTAGTGGCGGTGATGGAGGAGGTGGTGTTGATGAACTTCTCAGACGGCTTTGAGACGCCGGCGTTTTTCGGTGTCTGTTTCTTCTTCTTGCTTTTGGTGCCTTTTCTGCCTGTGGTTGGGTGTTCAGAGGTGCTGCTGCTGCTGGTTGGAGGTGTGTCGGAGTTGGAGTATGTGAGGTAGCTGTATGCTGCAGCCCCTGCTATGCCAGCTGCGACGGCCCATTCGAGTGATGTATGGCTGAGCGTCGAACCCATTAGGATGGAGTCAGAGATTGTCGGTAGGTGTTGAGAGAACAATGCAATTGCCAGCTTGAGAGTTTCTGGACTGCCATGTGACATTCATATTGACGTACGTGTCATTTCGTCGCGTCAATAGCCGTCAACAACGCGTTGTCATGCATTCACGAAATCAGGCTCCCTAGGAACCTGGGACGATCAACATCGTTTAACTTGAACAAATACACGAACAGGATATTGCTACTACTACGAATCAAAGAACGTTAGACAACCTCAAGACCGATTATAATTAGCTCCTTTAAATTAGAACCATATCATTGTGCATGCTGTCGTCGGGTATATCGGTAGAAGTGTATCATGAAAGCTCAGAGTATCCTGAAAAGCGTAAATTATCTGACTCAAGTTCGCCACTACCACCAATGTGCAGTGTTCCTCCTGCTTGCGCACTGCGCTCGAGGAGATCATCCCAAATGTCAGCCTTCTCGCGCTCTGTGAGAGGCGGACGGCGGGGAGCATTGAGTTCGCGGTAATTAACGGCAGATCGAAGTTGCGAGGACGATGCGTCTCTGGACGTGGAAGTCGATGACCTTAACGATGTCCGCATCTTGGCAGTGGATGCCTCGCTCAGGGTACTGGGCGCTTGAAGAGATATTCGTGAATTTGATTCTCCATCAGTAGTAGCAAATGTGGATTGGGAAGGGGAAGGTTCACTCTCCGACAACCTGCAGCGTATCGCACCGCGAGCAGGCCGTGGCGGTGGAGAAAGTGAGGTATTTCCATCTGGGAGTAAATGAGTGTGGGCGGCTGTAGGCGGCTTCTCGACAAGCCTGTGTGTTCTGAGAGAGGTTAATGAATGAATGGGATGCGTGATCGGAGATGTGTGGGTACGTGGCGAGGTTTCCTGGTGCTGATCATCAGCTTTGCCTTCCGCGGTCGGCGTAGCTCGCCCGGAATAGCTTCGACCGCTAGAATAGCTGCGCCTGCCAGAATGCGACATCGAGCCCTGATCTTTGGTGTGATTACCCAAAATCTTGTGGAGCTCCCGTGGGGGCACAATATGACGATCCCCCATACTGGGATAACCCGGCACAGTCTCCTCCCCATATGAGGACACTGACGATCCCCTCGAGTGTGACATATGAAAGAAACTTGCCGAAGCCATTTCGGATGAATTAGGGGAAGACGAAGACGTTGCCATGCTCGGCCGCGGGCCTGAGCCAGCAATATTCTTTGGCATAGATGCGCTGTAAGGTTTTTGTGACGTAGCCTGTGCGTCTTTGTATACCGTCTGGGACCGGGGAGGGGGTGTGTTGAGCAACTCTTTTGGAATGGCAGGGACAGGCGGCGCAGCTGTATCAGCCTGGAAGCGCTCGCGAAGCGCGCCCGTGCTGATCCGCTTCATGAGCTTCCAAATCTTAGAACCCTCGGGCTTGTTCTGCGGGTCGGTCGCTGAGCGGATGTGGTCGTTACCAAACTGCCCTGCATCTGTGGACTGTCCGCGGTCTTTGAGACGGCGAGAAGGACGGTGCTCTTGTAGACTTGATCGGTCATCGGCAGGGTCAGGTAAGAAAGACTCGCCACCCTTAATGTCTTCCCCTGTTGCTTTTTTCCATTTATTGGACACTCTTCTCGAGAGACTTCCCTTTCTCGAAAAACTTCTGCTCGGCTCGGACTGGAGTGTTTGGGCCCGCTGTTCGGCAAGGACATGAGCGTGAAAGGACCAATTTCTGTTATCATCCGGCCCTCCCGCAGTAATTCTGTGATCCGACTGCGTCCCGTAGACGGTATAGTATGGGGTCGGAGAAGGCGAGCGAGGGTCATCTTCAGAATATCCTTCCGTGGGCTGCACGGATGATTCGTCATACAGCTGGACAACAGGACTTGGGGGGAACACAAAACCATGCGCAGAAGGCAAGGGCGAGGTAGCTGTCGCCTTCTGTCTTGTTTCCATGTCCCGTTGCATTCTTTCTTTGGCCTTTGCAGACGGCTTCCTACGAAGAACATTCCGCTGTCTTTGACCCTTCCCCTGTGTAGGCATCGAATTGGCAGCCGAGGAAATGTTGTCTTGGCTTATGAGTGGTACGCTGGAGGAAGGTGAAGTGTTTGTGCTCGTAGCAAGATCCGGGGGCACGTATCCGGGTGCGAAGGGGAATGCCGAGACATCGAGTTCAGGCGGATGGGGTCTGGACTTGCGAGGGGTTGTGAGTCGTGGATGTGATGAGGCCCCCGCGTCTGAATGTAGGGATAGGCGAGTGGGGGACGGCAATGCAGGTTTGCTGAGGAAAAACTTGATGCCCATAGCAACAGGGGACTCAGGGGTCTCCAGGGTAGCGGGACTGGGTGAATTGGGCGCGGTGCGGGCGCGCGCAGAAGACGGGAGATATTTGGACCCACGTTTGCAAGTGACAGCGTGCATAGGGAGAAGATCAGATTCAGTAATGGATCTGGAGCGACCGCTTAGTGCCGAGGACGGAGGGGTACCGAAATATGGATAAAGTGACGTTGCAGGCACCCGATTGCCTTCGAATAGTGAGCGGGAGCCGCGCGGATCAACGCTGGCGCTGGCAGAATCGGATGTGAATGATGATTGTGAGTCAGCGAAGCGGCTGCTGCCGCCATGTGCGGAGGACGGTGACGTGAGGGGGCTTGACTGGGCACTAGGGTTGTGAGGGGATGTGAAAGATGGATGAATGCGATCGGGGACGGTATTGTGAGGCACGTAACGGTGTCGTGAAGCGGACCTTGGGGAGGTACTTTGTTCGCGAGGTTTGGGAGAGGATGTGATTGATGAGGGAAGGCGTTCGTGGACGTGATGGCGTCCAACTTGATCTGCAGAATAGGAAACAGCGCGCTTGCGTGTGGTTGGATAGTTGGAGAACATTGTACTGGTCTTGTTATTGCCGATCAGATCGTGAATTGTATGAAGGAGTCGAGGGATCAAGATCTCTAGGAACCGTTAGAGAGGCCTGGACAGGATAACATTATGAATATTAAGCACTAGAAGTAGAAGGAGTACGCACATGATACAGGCCAGTTTGATGTGAAGTGGAAGAGAGAGGTAGACGCCTGGAGCAACAAGAGAGGGTCGAAGCTAGAATTAGGATTACGGAAAGGGACGATCCGGTATGAGCGATTAGAGGCAAAAATCGGTCTAGTTCGGTCTATACTTACTTCTGATTGGAGAAACTTTGAAGTAAAAAGAGGGTTTACACGAGGAGCAGGAAGCTTAACGAGCGTGATTGAAAATGAAAGAATGTGGGAGTTAGTCGTCGACTCGTCAACCAGAGTATGCTATAAATGGGGACTTCGTGGGTTTCAGTATGAGACTCGGCTGAGACATTGGTTAACTGCAATGAACATACCATGCTCGACGTCGACGATGTACTGCTGGCAATCATGTACAAGCTTGAAATTTAGACTTTATATTTTAAACGCAGTTAGAGCGCTTATAAGCATCCAGACTTGCCCATCTTCTACTTCTATTCCCCTCATGGTTATTATATCTCCTTGGTCATGACCAGTACACTGATCACCGTTGCTTACGCTCTCCCACGCCCGTATCTAAGTAGTCTGAGACATAAGTATACTAGTAACGCGCTAGTACAGTACCCAGTGCAGTCGCTAGCATATTCGGGTCTTAGCCTCCCATAGCCATTCGTATCCAGGTATCCACCTTCTCGCCCCCATTTAATCCCCAATCTTCCTTCTATCTTCCCAGTCACACTCCCCATCATGGTTCGCACCAATATCTCCCCCAATGACCCCGCAGAGGAACATCCCACTATCGGTTTGATCGGAATGGGTGCAATGGGCGCTATGTATGCGAAGCACCTCTCTAAAGCAGGCTGGAAAAAGTACTTATCATTTGCCTTATATCAACATCTCTTCATCTCACCGTTATATTTGGCCTCTAGAATCAGCGTCTGTGATCTTCCCGATAAATTTGACTCCCTGAAACTCCAATACGCAGACGTCCCTGGCGTAACAGTCTACCCAGATGGACACGCAGTTTCTAGAATCTCAGACTTCATCATGTACTCCGTGGAGGCCGAGTACATTGACCGTGTCGTCTCACAGTATGGCCCTTGTGCGTCTTCCCATACCTTCATTTTCTCCTCTCTAATCTGTCTTTCGTGCGAACTTGTACATAGCAACCAAAGTCGGCGCAATCGTCTCTGGCCAGACATCAGTCAAAGCACCCGAGAAGGACGCATTTGAAAAGTATCTTCCTCCAGACGTCCACATCGTGTCCCTTCATTCTCTCCATGGTCCCACAGTTTCCCCAGAGGGACAGCCCCTGGTGATTGCCGTTCCTCCTACCTTATCGCTAATCCTCATTCTCTTATCTTTGACAGGTTCTCATACAACACCGCGCTCCAGACTCCTCTCTTCACTTAGTCGAAAGCATCTTCCGATGCTTCGGCTCACGCTTCGTATATTTGACATACGAAGACCACGACCTCGTTACCGCCAATGTACAAGCGGTTACACACGCTGCCTTCCTCACGTACGAGCCAAGAGCCCGTCACTCTTCCATAACTTCACTTCTGACTCATATTTTCATCACACAGCATGGGCACAGCCTGGGCAAGCCAGCGCTCCTACCCCTGGGAACAGGGTCAATACGTCGGCGGAATTGAAACTGTCAAAGTAAACATCATGCTCCGCATTTACGCGAACAAGTGGCATGTTTATGCAGGCCTCGCCATTCTCAACCCCTCCGCGCGTATTCAGATCGACCAATATGCTTCCTCCGCGACTTCCCTCTTCAAGCTCATGCTTGCAGGAGATGAAGAAGGTCTCCGCACCCGCATTTACGAGGCACGCCAACAAGTCTTCGGCACGGTCGAAGCGGAGCGCGCACCAATATTTTTAACTGAAGACGTCCTCGATCAGTTCACCATCGGTGGACACCCCAAGCTAAACGGTAGTCCAACAGGGACGTCCGCGCCCCCATCCAACTCGCACCTCGCACTCCTTGCGATGGTCGACTGCTGGGCCCACCTCAAGATCCAGCCATTCGACCACCTAGACCTCGCAGCAACTCCTATATTTAGAATGTGGATCGGTGTCGCAGAGTACCTCTTTCGTTCCCCGAAACGGCTAGACTCTGCTATTCGTTCAGCGGTGTATGACGTCACCCACCGGTCAGACGATCTCGAATTCGTTATCGCCGCTCGTGGGTGGAGCCAGTGTGTGTCGTTTGGGAGCTTGGATTTGTATAAACGCAGGTTTTTGGAGACTGCGTCGTTCTTTGAGAGTAGGTTTGAGGAGGCGAGCGCTATTGGTTCGGAGATGATCAAGGCTATTTCGCAGAGTTGAATCTGATTGGGAAATATATTTTATGTACTTTTTATGTAAAACGCCTGCTGGTTTTTTGGATCGTCTGTCATGGATGTCGTTGGCCAGTCATATTGGGTTCCCTGTTCATACTTGACCCATTCCTGCATTTGGTTTGGTCATCGTGGCACTTGGGTCAAGACGCGAGTTTCGTGGAGCAACGCTGTATGAAGGACATGTAACACGTTACTGGCAGCAGCTCGAGACTTCGAGTGTCGAACGCCTTCTGGTTCCCCATAGCAGCAGCCTTGGTGAAAAGCCTTCTTGCTTGAATCCACTCGAAGTGGTGATTGCAAGTCAACCATGGGTTGCACTGCGTCTTTTGTCATTCTGGAGGTGGCGGTGATGTTGGACACGGTCGAGGTGGACTTGCCGTAGGTTGTCGTTTCTGTTACAATAAGTTGCAAAGGTGTTGTACTCGCCGTTATCATCTGCTTCGAGATATCAACTCATTTGATAGACGCCCTGGGTGTGATGCTGTTCGCAGAATGCTCCTGTTGTCATGCGCGCCTCTGACCGGGTGTCCAATTGCGCCACCGCAGTTTGCGGCAAATATGAGATCGTGCAGTCATTGCTTCCAAGACTACCATCTCGTAGTACTTGACTCTTGCTACATCAGCATCGCAATCATGTCGAAGTGCTGCTTGACTACATACCAGCAATCGAGTCCCCTTTGACTAAACTGACACCGCGACAATGATGCAGTCGAATGTAATTGCAGGCAATCGGAGGGTCTGAGTCGGAACAGCTCCCTGTACCGTCGTCATCTGTTTGTCATCCACATCCGAGTCCGCATTTGCGCAATCCTAGAGCATAAGAGGGAGGGCGTCTGCCATCGGATACTTGGGTTTGCGATGCAACAGTGGCAACTGGACGTCAGGTGGTATGTTTGATATTTGATTTTTTGGGGGATACGTTCATGCACGCAGTGCGTGTTGTCTAAAATTTCCGCTCATGGCAGAAAGTAACCTGGACCCAGAGCTGACGAGGTGATGAATGGTGTACCTTAGCATTCCCTTAGGTCTCGATACTCATCATCAAAAGCATTGGGTATAAGCTCCTATTCAGTGAGTCGGTGGATGAACTCTGCTTTTATTTTGATATTTGTGGTGATGAGGTTGTGGTGCAGAAAGAGTTGAAGAACATGGGCGCTTGAATGCCCGGGTCGAGTCCGCATAAACGATGTCGTGAAGATTAATATTCGGATACATACGTCATTGAGCAACGAATGAATTTGCTGAAGACTCTGAGAGTAGACAAAAACGAAAGCGAACGCGAAAACAAGATAGCATATATGAATACGTGACAGACGTAACAGGTTAATTCAGTATTTGCTACAACTTAAAATGGAGACGAAAAAGAATGCGATACAAAGGACCTGTGAACCCGCACGAGATGAAAGTAATACAGCATGAACTACACACCGATATGAATGAAAACCATCCTCTGCTCAAGCGGCACTTTCGTCTTCACGGAGTGCGTAGCACGGTTGAGTGCCCAGGCCGCCTTCGTACAGTCCATGACCTCACCATCCTCCAAATCAGCGAACAAATTCTCGTAGAACGCTTCGACAACGTGTTTTGCGACAGCATCGTCGACCTCCCACAGTGTGCCAATGACGCTCTTGAATCCCGAAAACTGGAGACCAGCTGCGAGGTGAATCACTTCGTCGGGCGTCTTCTTATCGCCAACGGCGGTATGGCATGCCGACAAGAACGCGAACTCAGCGTGCGGAATATGTTTTTCCATGATATCGAGCAGCGTCAGAGGTTGATCTCTCATGACAAAATGCGAATTGTAAGGCTGTTTAGGGTCCTGCTTACCATGACAAGCCAAATGCACCCAGCTGTTCTGTTCCAAAGCTTCGAGTGCACCTGCTCGTGTGGCTGCGCCGCCAGAAACAGTGGTACGGTTCGCGGTCGCGGGGACGAGCTTACGGACAAGCTCAAGCTCGCTGTCGACAGCCAAGAGCGCCTTGCCTTTCCCTGCACCCGGTTGGCCCTGTCCGATTGTCACAAAGGATGGAGCAACACGCTTCTTCATCATCTGTCTGGATCTGACCAGAGCCGAAAGTGTCGGGGTGTAAGAGCAAATGTAGAGATCCTCCAGGCATGGCTCTTTAGAGCGATCTGCCTGTGTTTGAAAGGGGTGAGCAGCATGGAGAGGAATGGACGTGAAAGCTGCAGTTGGACACAGCCAGATGCGAGAGTGGAATTTTAATTTCAGATCATGCTGGAGGACATTGACGACGGGTAGCATGATCTCGTCCCATACTGCCCGCAAGAGGACTATTAGATCGTTCCGCGGCACCTTTGGTCCCATGACAGATGCATGTCGTATCGCCCTGGCGAAGCGATCCTTGAGATTATTCAGATCTACGAGAGTGACAGACGGCAATGGAACATGATGAGGCTCTCCTGACGTTGGTATAATGATGGCGCTGCACGAGTATTGGCTGGCAATCAGGATGATAACGGGACCCTGGCGTGCTGCCGCTTGCAAGTCTTCGTACGAAGGCGGGAGCATAAACCGCGAGAACGCTTGAAGATTACGGATTTCAGCCACTGCAGCTTCCCATTGCCTTGTAAGTTTCCTGTACTCGGTTGCTGCCCAATCAGCTCCAGCTGGGTCAGCAATGCCTGTAGAACCCTGAGCATCAGATAGGCGCTTGTTGAGCACCAAGAGCTTTTGAGCTAGCTGCGGACTCGCAGACTTCAGGTCTTCCAGCGGAGTCCTGAGTCGGGAGGCCAACGACCACTGCTGGCCACGGGCCTGCTCCACAAGTTCAACCGCTTGTCGTAGATTGTGACGACGTATGGCACATGAGGCTGCATCTACAGGAAGTGATTGTGCACCACGAAAAGCAGTTGCAGCCTTCCGGCGTGAGATGATCGACGATCGTGTCATCACATGGCTGTCAAAAAGCTCAAAGCACATTTGGTATGCTTCAAGATCAGATTCATGTTGATAGACTTCTGCTTGGCGAGCCCAATTAATAGCCTCCTTGATGCGTTCCGGAAATCCTTGAGTAGGATGTCTCGATGTGAGTCTGAAGTTCTCCATAGCGAGCGACAAATCAGCGGGATTGTGTAGAATGCGGTAACGAGATAAATAGGCCTCCTGCAGCCACATGTAGCTGAAATACCTGCTCGGGTGCAGTGAAGACAGAGCCGCCAACGATTCTTGGCAAAGAGTAATGGCTTCTTCGATATCTTCATTCTTCTGAGTTTGTGTGAACCGAGAGCAGAGCGCTGAGCTCAAACCGTAAAGAGTTTTATGGCGCTCGGAATGCCGCTTTAACCGAAGGGAATCGCGATACAGATCAATGGCCTCGTTAATATCCTCGCTGACATGCAATTTATTATATCTGGTTTTGAGCGCGAGGGCAAGATTGCTAAGCGTGGTATCACGATGTGGATGCCCAGGTGAGCGCAATATCAGTGCCTCGCGACGGAGGCTGATAGCTCTGGTTATATCATTAATGTCACCACGTTTGTGGAAGCGGGTAACGAGGGCACCCCCTAGGTTGTCCAATGAGGTATCACGAGATTCGTGCCCAACAGGGTATAAGCGCAGCACTTCTTCATACAAAGAGATGGCCTCATTGAGGTCTTTAGATTTGCCTTGGTGATCGAAGCGATATCTGAGTGAGACGGCCAAGTCATTCAAGTAGCTACCACGGTCAGGATGTCCCCTGGAAAGTAGAGAAATGGCTTCACGACCGAGTCTTATGCCCTCATCTAGATCATCGATGCTGCCGCATTGTGTAAAGCGCGTGAAGAGTGATTGCAACAGCGTGTGGAGTGCTATTGGACGGCAATAATGGCCCAGAGGACAGAGCTCGAGGATGACACGTCGAAGGTGGATGCCTTCATCAGATGTGTCTATCGGAAGATCGTTGCATCCGCCGATCACATAATCGACACCATGTGTCCCTGTCGCGACGCTTCGAAGGTAGGTGCCATCTGGACAGAGAGGTAGTAGCTCATGATAGAGTCTGGCGGCTTCGAGGATGTCGGCAGCAGTACTTTTTCTTCTTGTGGCGCCAAGTCAGCGCTTTGGTGAGATTATATAGAGATAATGGATGATCGGGGTGGCCCTGCGGACGCAATGCAAGGGCTTCGCGGAAGAAGGAAGCAGTGGTATCAATGTCTTGAAGATCCTTGCGAATATACCCCTGAAGGCGCGCATACGCAAGGTTGGTGAGGGCTGTTGCGTGGTCAGGATGGCTGACCGGACACTGGTCTAGAACCAACTGAAAATGCTGCACTGCATCGCTCAGGTGAGAAACCGTCTTGCTCGTCATGTATGCGGCAAATTGTGCGTGGCCCGCATCTGTGTCTCGAGCGATCTCGCAGTCTACAAGGAACTACAGTTGGCATTCCGTCAGCAAAAGCTAACAGTAAAGACCAGCGTCACTCACATCAGACAGTGTGCCATCCTGATCGTCGCAAGTATGTACAACGGCGGACTTCAGCGTGAGGAAAGGGTAGACACCACGGACGGGTGGGAAGGACAAAACTACACGATGTTAGTATATATGGATGAATGAAGGAGAAAATCACTCACTGAAAGGTTCATCTCCATGATCGAGTAGCTCATCCCATGACATCTGAAGTTTCCAAATGACCTCTCCACTGCCTAGCATTCGGCCAACCTCATAAGACGCCCAGATCTCCACTGATAATGTAGGTGTCATATGTGATGATCTATATACTGAAATCAGTTCTCGCATCGCATCAGAAAAGTCTCCGTGAACTTTACAAAGTCACAGTGTCGCCCCACACTACAGATCTGTCGGATGATAAGACACTGATGGCCGATTTCCAGCGTCTCTGGGTGTCGACATTAATGGATATGTGGATCCCTGCGGGAATGCGCCGGGAGGGAACTTGAATATTTCTTCCGCTGATGACTGTAAAAAATGTGGGGATCACGCAGCAGATACAAAGGTGATATCGAGCGACCCACCTTCAAGTCTGATGTATTGACTTTCTAAGCCACCAGGCATAATGGTGCGACGAAACAAAATGATGAGGATTGAAGATGGGCCGAGTGGTTGGCGGAATGAATGGGAGGGAAAGACGAGGGACAAGGGTAATGATATGGGGACTGGTAAGGGGATTCGGCTGACAGCCTGGGAGAGGAGGAGAGGCTGAAGCGCGCCTCAGAGAACCGGTGAGAAGAAGACATTGTCATATATCGTAATATATAGGAAAGGATTTCGTCACATTGTAATATAAAGCAATATATGACTATGTAAATGCACCGCAATCAGCATAATCGCCAGCAAGAACTCACCAGTTCACTGATCCGGGCTCAGTCACTAGGATTAGGAGAAGAATCTGTGCTAAAGAAGCATACACAGAGTCATGGTCCAGTTTTCAGCGAAAGTACTTGGCCTGCCAAGGTTGAAGGGGATATGCGAGTCTCAGAGCGTCTTGTAATGATTGCTACTCTTGAACTTGTATCATGGAGTCGTACCACTCATTTAGCACACTTCGAAAGCAATATGTAGAATCGGATCCGAGTGCATTTCCTAAGGTAATGAAAATGCAAACAATGCAAACCGCTGAAAACAGCACGCACATAAAAGCCGAACGATTCTATACGACTCGTCCGATTGAACTGATAGTGACATGGTGGAGGAGGATTGAGCTCGAGAATGTTGTGGAAATACCAGGGACAGTCTGCAAGAACATAAAAGTTACATTCATGGATGCAACGTATATAGTGAATATGTGTGACGAAAACACGTGAACACCTGGGTTTCGGGCGTAGCTATTTTGACGCGGTCCTGCCGCGGTCGTGACGCGTAAGTAAAGCGGCATGCATCAGGTAATGAACCTGAAAACGATAAATCATTAGTGCCAAGCTCAGGTTCCTACCTATTAATTGGCGGGTGTGTAAGAGAGCCGAACAGCCACAGACCAAATACAACCAAGCGCTATTTCTCCGACGATTTACCGAAACTTTTTGGGCTACCACTGACGAGATGATGAATGGTGGACCCTAGCATTCTCTTAGGTCTTGGTACTGATCATCGGAATCATTGGGTAATAAGCTCCTGTTCAGTGGGTCGGTAGATGGGCTCTGCTTTTATTTGATATTTGTTGTGATGTGGCGTTTACTGAGTTGGCAGAAGTCGGAGTTAAAGAACATGGGCGCTTGAAGGTCTGAAGCGAGTCCGCAAAAAACGATGTCACTAACATTAATATTCGATACGCACGTCATCGAGCAACGAACGAATTTGCTGAAGAAACGAGAGTAGACGAAAACGAAAGCGAACGCAAAAACAAGATAGCATATGAGTACGTGACAGATGTAACCGTGGTAATTCAGTATTTGCAACAACTTGAGGTACAATGGAGACGAAAAAAGAATGCGATACAAAGGACCTCAGCTGTGAACCCGCACGAGATGAAAGTAATGCAGTACGAACTACACACCGATATGAATGAAAAACCATCCTCTGCTCAAGCGGCACTTTCGTCTTCACAGCGTGCGTAGCACGGTTGAGTGCCCAGGCCGCCTTCGTGCAGTCCATGACACCACCATCCTCCATATCAGCGAACAAATTCTCGTAGAACGCTTTCACAACGTGTTTGGCGACAGAATCGTCGACCTCCCACAGCGTGCCAATGACTCTTGAATCCCGAAAACTGGAGACCAGCTGCAAGGTGAATCACTTCGTCGGGCGTCTCCTTATCGCCGACGGCGGTATGACAAGGGATAAGAATGCGAACTGCGTGCGGAATATGTTTCTCCATGATATCAAGCACGTCAGATGTTCATCTCTCATGACGAAGTGGGAATTGTAAGGTAGGGTCCTGCTTGCCATGGCAAGCGAGGTGCACCAGGTGTTCTGTTCCAAAGCTTCGAGTGCACCTATTCGTGTGGCTGCGTCACCAGAAATAGTGGTGTTGGCCGTCGCAGGGACGAGCTTATGGACAAGCTCGAGCTCGCTGTCAACAGCCAAGAGCGCCTTGCCTTTCCCTGCACCCGGTTGACCTTGCCCGATTGTCACAAAGGATGGAGCAACACGCTTCTTCATCATCTGTCTAGATCTGACCAGAGCCGAAGTGTCGGGGTGTAAGAGCAGATGTAGAGATCCTCCAGGCATGGCTCTTTAGAGCGATCTGCCTTTGTTTGAAAGGGGTGAGCTGCATGGAGAGGAATGGACGTGAAAGCTGCAGTTGGACACAGCCAGATTCGAGAGCCGCGCTTTAACTTAAGGACATGCTCAAGTACGTTGACGATGGGCAGCATGATCTGGTCCCATACTGTCCGCAAAAGGACTATTAGATCGTTGCGAGGCACCTTTGGGCCCATGCTAGATGCGTGTCGTATCGCCCTGGCGAAGCGATCCTTGAGATTGTTCAGATCTACGAGAGCGACAGACGGTAAGGGAACATGATGGGGCTCCCTGACGTCGGGATGACAATAGCGCTGCACGAATATTGACTGGCAATGAACAATGGACGGGGCCCTGGCGTGCTGGCTCGCAAGTCTCCGTACGACGGGGGAGCAGGAACCGCGAGAAACCTTGGAGTTTGCGTATCTCAGCTACCGCAGCTTCCCATTGCCTTGTAAGTCTTCTGTACTCGGTTTCTGCTCGATCAGCGCAGCTCTGTCGGTGATGGTTGCAGAACTCTGCGCGGCATTAGAAATGCGCCTGCTCAGGTCCAAATAATCGTGCGCTAATTTTGGATTTGCTGACTCCAGGTCTTCAACTGGAGTCTTGAGTCGAGAGGCCAGCGACCATTGCTGGCCACGGCCCTGCTCCACGAGTCTACTGCGTGTCGTAGATTGTCACCGCGTATGGCACATGATGCAGCATCTACAAGCAGTGATCTGGCAACATGGAAGGCAGCGGCAGCTTCGCGCCGTGAAGTTGCCGATGATCGCATTGCCAAATGAGCATCCAGAAGCTCAAAAAATGCTAAGTAGGCCTCCGGTGTGGTCCGTGACCATGTGATGCTTTGCTACAACAGTCCAATTATATGCCTGAATGATGCGTTGTGGATATCCTTGAGTTGGGTGCTGCGACGCCAGTCTAAAGTTCTCCACTGCGAGGGATAAATCAGCAGGGTCGTGTAGAATCCGGTAACAAGACAAATATGCATCCTTCAGCCGCATGTAGCCGAAATGCCTGCTCGGGTGCAGTAAAGACACAGCGGCCAAAGATTCTTGGCAGAGCTGAATGGCCTCCTCGACATCTTCATTCTCCCGAGTTCGCATGAAGCGCAAGCACAGCGCGAAGCCCGGATTTTGAAGATATGTATGGCGCTCTGGATGGTCATGTCGCACTGACTGAAGGCATTCGCGGTACAGATCAATGGCCTCCTTAAGATCCTTGCTGACATGCAATTTGTCGTATCTGGTGTCGAGCGCGAAGGCAAGGTTGTTAAGCGTGGTATCACGACATGGATGCCCAGGTGGGAATAATGTCAGTGCCTCGCGATAGAGGCTGATAGCTCGGGTGATGTCATCAATGTTGCCACGTTTGTGGAAACGGCTGACGAGGGCGAGCCCTAGGTTGTCCAATGAGGTACCACGATATTTGTGCCCAACAGGACGCAGGCGCAGCGCTTCTTCGTCCAAAGAGATGACCTCATCGAGGCCATTAGGTTTGCCCTGGTGCCGGAAGCGGGACACAAGTGAGAAGGCCAAGTTGTTCAGGTAGCAAGCACGGCCAGTATGTCCCTCGGGGCACAGAGACACGGCGTCACGACGAAGTTGTATGCTCGTGTCAAGGTAATCAATGTTGCCATGTTGTTGAAAGCGTGATTGGAGAACCCACGCAAGCTTGTCAAGTGCTCTGGGACGCTGTTGATGGCCCAGAAGACAGAGCTCGAGGATGACTCGTCGAAGGTGGATGCCTTCATCAGATGCATCTATTGGAAGGTTGTTGCATCCGTTGATCACATAATCGGCACCATTTGCCCCTGCCGCGACGCTCCGAAGGCAGGTGCCCTCTGGACAGAGAGGTAGTAGCTCATGATAGAGTTTGGCGGCTTCGCGGATATCGGCAGCAGTACTTCTCTTGTTGGGTGCCAAGTCAGCGCTTTGGTGAGATTATATAAGATAATGAATGATTGGGATGGCCCTGCGGATGCAATGCAAGTGCTTCGCGGAACAGGGAAGTGGTGGTATCAATGTCTTCAAGATAGTTGCGAATATACCCTTTAAGGCGCGCATACGCAAGGTTGGTGAGGGCTGTTGCGTGGTCAGGGGCTGAGGACACTGGTCTAGAACCAACTGAAAATGCTGCACTGCGTCGCTCAGGTGAGGGACTGCCTTGCTCGTCACGTATGCGGCAAATTGTGCGTGCCCGTATTTGTGTCTCGAGCGATCTCGCAGTCTACGAGGAACTACAATTGGTATTACGTCAACAAAAGCTAACTGGGGAGACCGGCGTCACTCACATCAGACAGTGCATCATCCTGATCGTCGCAAGCAAGTCCGGTGGCGGCCTTCAGCGTGAGGGAAGGGTGGATATCACGAACGAGTGGGAAGGACAAAACTACGATATGTTAGTATGTGCATCAATGAGGAGAAATTACTCACTGAAGGGTTCATCTCCATGATCGAGTAGCTCATCCCACGACCGTTTGAAGTTTCCCAATGACCGTCTCCGTTGCCCAGCATTCGGCCAACCTCATAAGACGCCCAGATCTCCACTGATAATGCAGGTGAGGCATGCGAGATCTAGAAGCCGAAGATCAGTTCTCAGATCGCGTCAGAAAGTCTTCATGGACTTTACAGAGTCACAGTATTCCCCCGCTACAGACTCCATCGATGATAAGACACTGATAGCTGATTTCCAGCATATCCGGAGTCGAAAAAAATTGATGGATACATAAATGCCAGCGGGAATGCGCTCGGAGGGGACTTTAAGATCCTTTCCGCTGATGACTGTAGACAGATCGTGAGGATCACGAAACAAATATGAAGGTAATATGGAGTGACCTACTTTCGAGTCTGATATATCGGCTTGCAAAGCCACTACGCGTGATAGTGGGACGAAACAAACGACGAACAACACGCAGCATCGGAAATTGAGAGGGGGTCAGAATGTGTGGTAGGAGAAGACGGAGGCGAACGGAAGGAGTCAAATTGTGGATGAAGTTTGGCTGAGAGGGAGAGGAGAAGAGGTTGAGGGGTTCAGGTTATGTTGCACGTGTATTTCCATATTGTCGATCGCAGTTCGGCACGATAGTGACGCTGGTGTGATTGCACTAAGCGCTGAGGATGGAGATCACTAACTTATAGGATTAGTGGAAGAATATGTGCTAAAGAAGTACCTCCACAGCACATCCTTCACAAACGCTCCAAAAGCTCTCCCATCCGTGACAACGACCTCTCTCGCTCTAGGCAATACCATCGCGTCCAGCACCAGTATTAAAAGCTCCTTTAATGGGACCTGGTCGTGTGTTCGTCGAGGAGATTCAGGCGAGATGTGGAATCTGAAAGGAAGAATATACACGGGAAGGTTTGAATATAGATCGAAAACAGTGGGTCTGCTGCAGCCTGCAGGATTCGGGGAGTCAGTCGCGATGTAAAGGGGAGCGGTTTAGCATTTGCAACGGTGGTGAGGTATCCAGAAATGCACGACACCGAATCTTGGGTTTGAACGTATGCGGCAGAGGAGGCAAAGGCGGATGAGGTACCCTGAGACTAGGTACATCCGGTCAAATAAGTGGCGGATTGAGGTCTTCGTCGAAAGGACTGAGCTGCTGTTCGAGTGTCAGAGTCTCCTCGAGATCTAGTCCACAAACAAGGTGTACGAGCTTCCACCAGGCTGTTCTTGCATTATCGGCGCTTCGTTTCGAATTGACCGTCCACGACGCGAAGATGTGCACCGATGCTAGACAGCGCCTAACGCTTCATGTATCGTATCGGCCACACAAGCCAGGTGTGGATTCGTAAACGTCATTCCGCTCCTTACATCTCTCCGTACGCTCTTGCTCACACCCTGTCTCAGCCTAAGCCTCGACGACACAAACAACGTCCCAGTCTGCAGTAATCTCTCGGGTGCCTGAGCATGTGCCGGATGTAGATGGAATAGAGATACTTGTCTCGCGTAGGCGATACATCATAAAGCGTGTCCCAAGAACCGAAAATCGTAAGGGCTGGAGTCTTGTAACATCACAGTTATCTGGTTTGAAGATATTGATATGAAATTTTTTCTGCTGCTGGGCTTCCGTCCCATTGGATCACCTTTACTCCGATATTCTCTCCTGTTGCGTGTAGATCGATGAGGTGTCCCATGGAATAGATAGAAGTCCATTATTCGTACCCTGAACATTCGTTGGGTGCTGGTATGCCGGCAGGAACGAGTGGACAGTGCTCAAGTCGGGTTTTAGACCCATGCACGAGGAAGCGTCTTAGTTTCTCAAATGAAACATATCTCCAAGCCTAGAAAAGGAACAAGAAGAATCGATTAAGTTGTTGAGTGAGTACGAGCGTGTTCTAGATTGCGATACGTTGGTTGTGTAATTCGCTGTGGGAAAAATAGGAGAGGTATGTGGTTGTCAGGAGCGGGTGGGCTTGCTTTTGGGAGGGTGTCAGCGGGGTGCGGGTGCGGGTGCAGGTGGGGTTGTGCATAGGGAGCAAATATGGTGGTGAATAAGTGATACGCGAAGAAAAGCATGTGATCTGATGCGAAAGCTGGACTCTAGTACAGCGATGAGGATCGCGAGTTTTCTGTTTTGGGAGTGGAGTGGCGGCTGTTTGGCGTTCATTAGGCTTTGGCTTAGGGAAGAACCTGGTCGCGAGCTGTGTGGTGCGCACATCATGCCTTTTTCGTGACGGACGGAGACTGGAAGGTGTATACTGTAGACATAATGGTTGTTGAAGCTTGAAGCGCCGAAGACGTGTTGTTTGTGCTTGTTGAATTCTAAGGCTCTTGTTGACGCCGGCACTGGTGAGAGTGCTTCAAGTTGTGAACCCTGTCTCACGCACTGAGCAACTCTAAGGAACAGTCATTTTTTGTTTCAATGACCATGGGACAGCACCAGATTAGAGAGAGGAAAGAAGGGAGCATAACGAAAATGACTAGCTCGGAGGTCGTCGGACCAGCAATCAAGTGGAGCGTCATGATCAGGACGATCGAGATATTTTTTCCCTTATGCCTGCAGTGATCGTCGCTCATACCATAATTAGGAGAGCTCCTCAACTGGTTTGGAAGGCTGTGGCAACGCAAGTTGGATGCATGTATGGCCAAGGCTTCTGATAACAGCCTCATGTCTGAGGCGTGTAATGAAGCACGAGGAAGATATTGTGATGCAAATCCGCATAAGAACGCCCAGTTCACGAATCTTTGCAGTCCAGTGCAAGACGCTCGCAATCCCTCTACCAAGTCTACCTCGATTAATCGTACCCCACAAGATCAACCTCCAATTAAATGGCGCAACTCGTCCCAAACACCACGCCAGTTCGGGTGTTTCAAGATCATAAAGCATGTGTAACCGCAGTCGCAGTTTTACCTGATGAACGGCGCATGGTCACAAGCTCAGAAGATAATACGCTTCGTCTGTGGGACTTGAAGCAAGGTGCTGTGTTGAAGACGATGGTGGGGCATCGTGCCAACGTGAAAGCATTGGCGGTATCACGAGATGGGCGATTGATAGCAAGCGGTGATGAGAACGGAGAGCTCCTTGCTTGGCATGGAGACACTGGGGATTCTCTCACCCCAACTATCGAATCTCACAGTGAACATATCTATTCCCTGGATTTTTCTCCAGATGGCTCAATGCTAGCAAGTGGTTCATGGGACGACACGACGAAACTGTGGAACACAACTACGTGGCAATTGTCAGGAACACCGATCAGTTGTGGTGCAGACATCAACTGCGTTCGGTATTCGCCATCCGGCGAACTACTGGCGATTGCAACGGACGACAATATCCAGGTTTATAATGTACTAGGCAAGCGGCGCTGCGTCGCAAAGTTCAAGGGTCATGCAGCAAATTCAACATACAACTACTCTCTCGCATGGACGCCCGATGCTACCACGCCTTCTCTCAGCTGGCACTAATAATGATTGCACTATACGGGTGTGGGACTCATCGACCTGGGAGCAGGTTGGTGATCCATGGACAGGCCATACCAACTCCATCAACTCCATCGTTATCAATGCTTCTGGCACGCTCCTTGCATCTGCATCTAGTGATAAATTTGTACGCCTTTGGCGACTCTCGGATCGACCAATGAAGCACTCCAACGATGTACACTGCGTCGCCTTCTCCGTGGACGGCGGGCACATCCTCAGCGGAGGTGGTGATCTGAAGATCTCAGAGTGGGAACTACCCAAGGGGACTGTCATTGGTAAGTTCCCGGTGATTTCTCATCCTTGGTCGTCTCATCTCACATATTTGATGAAAAGTCTCAAGGCTCTGGTTTTAAGGCATGTATCCATCTTGGACTCTTATACCACAACGCGAACATACTTCACGCAGATCCTCGTTATAAACGCGGCAGCCCGCAATGCATGTATAACTGGGGATCTGCCTACTGCTATACAGTTGTTCACACAACAAATCAACGTCGATCCCAACAACTTTGATTCCTATGCCAATCGTTCATTCATCATGGCGAGACAGTTTGCATGGAACGATGCGCTTCAGGATGCAACCAAGGTAAGATACACTGACCACATCACGCCTCACTTAATACAGGCTAACTTGGATGTGACATAGTCAGTCAGCATTGAGCCTTCCTTGATAGGCTATATCTCCAAGGGCCTCGCCCTCTGCGGAAATCAGCAGGAGCACGACGCGATGGCAGCATTTGACCTCGCGTTCACATTCACAAACGCAGACTCAAAGACGACTCATTTTCTTTTCTTGATCAAGGTAGGTAATTTTCGAATCATACTCTACACTTTATCATGGTTTTTTCAGGCCATCGCGTCGTTCAATGCCAAACCCTGTGAAGAGACAGTCTTTCCCGTCCAAGAGCTAGCCTCTCGTCCCAACGCCGATCCTCTCGCTTGTCGTGTCGTGGAAGTGAGTATGATGCATCTTGTTAAGAGCATGTTCGTGTGCTCACTGAGTTTCCTGCGCTTTGAATACTAGGCGTATATGCGAATCCAGCTTGGGACCATTGCCATGGCTGGCGCCCTTTACAGAGATGCCGCTGGCCACTTTACTGCTGCCGTTAACGCTGGTGCTTTCTTTTCCAAATTGGACATCCATTCTATATATGAGGACTTTGTCGTGGTACGTTGATATGATGAGATAATCTGATCCACACTCAACCGCGTGCTCATGCAGCTTTTCGGCTGGGACCTCAAGTCCTTGTGGCAAACCGCAAACCAACAACGCTGTCACGCACTCGTTCGGGCAGGTAAAGTCGGGGCTACCCTTGAAGCGTATCGATACATGATGGACATGAGTGATGAACCCACGAAGGCCATCTTCCGTGCTTGGGTTCCTGGCAAGTCTTCTGTAGTGTCACTCGTACTACCACCCTTACTCATGTTTCCCTCAGCTTTCGACGAGGAATGAACTAAACGCCCACGGAGATGTTACCCTCGCAGCGAGTGCCATTCTGATTTGTACCCCGGAACTATTTATTACTCTTTGTGCTTGTATCGTGTGCTAGATCACAACACGCAAGTAGACCCAAGGTTGTAAAGTATTTCCTGCGGACTTGATGGTATGCGACTACTTCAGTACAAGTGATGTTTGAACAACTCGTTGCCTGAAGTCGACACAATCCGCTACTTGCTTATGGTTATCGACACCATCTAATGATTCCGGTAATGGAACAAAGCTGACAGATAGATATGATATCACAAGAGTCTGAGGATGGGGGAAGAAACATCTTGTGAGCATACATAACACTACCAAAGGAGCTTGTTCCCGTGGCACAATGGTGAGCTTTAATGGGACGGATGGTTCACCAAGTCACTTGTCCATATTGGCGACTTTAGCGTTCAAGATCTTAAGATCAGGATTTGCATCGTGGCCTCTCGCGCGATCGAGCAAGGCTTCATGCTTCGATGACGTAGACTTAGTTTCACTGCCCCTTTGGGGCATGCAGATCATTTGCCTGAGACCCACGACATTTTTCCCGTCCTTGAGGTCTACATCATTCCCGTCTTCATTCTCCATCGGCTTCGAATTTCCCGTGCTTGTGTTTGAATTTTGAGAATGAACTAGACAGGAACATGTGGGTTTCTCGGGTGGCAGGTCGCCGAGCACTTTTGGGCACCATATAGGGCTTGCGAGGTCCAGCCTTGCATGTCATGATGTGGGATTGTGGCACGCTGGAACCTAAGCGGTAGTACTAGTGGCCAGAGTGACTTCAGATGAATGCATGTTTGGTAATCGATCTGATAGCACGCTGATTATCGATTATCTTCATTGCAAATTGCGGCGAAAGCCAATAGTGCTGATCCCAGAATAGAACGATGAAACAGCCGCAGTACATCTACCGAGAACATTCCAGGGAACAGAAGCTGACATGCATCCAAGGTTGTGATCTTCATAATAGACATTCTAAAGTGCATGGATGATCAGGCATATGTTATCTCCCTATCTATGTACTCGCAGGCTCCTGTAGTGAAAGAAAACTGTTGTCAGAACTACATCCATGCGGAAGAAGTGTCAAAATTTGGGTGCGGTTGCGCTGCCGGATTTGAGCTGGCATTTTAAAAGGTCGTCAAAGATGTGCCTGCCCCCATTGAATCTCGGTATAGAGTTGTTTTCTTGGTAAAATGACCTGGACTCTGGAATGATCGTCGTTACGCATGATGCTAAGAGTGCCCATTGACTCATCTAGCAATTGCAATGATCCAACTTGAAGTTGGACGCGTGTCCCAAGGCGCTTATGATAACAGTCAATCAGCATAAAAATGTATTCAAAACGCACCGACTATCTGCACTAGAACCAGGCACCTACAATCCCCTCCAGCAAGTATAAAACTGTGCTCAATACCACCAACCTCCAGTCAAATGGCGCAGTTCATTCCAAGCACCATACCAGTTCGAGAATTTGCAAAATATCATGGTGGACCTGTAACTGCAGTCGCAGTTTTCCCCGATAAACGACGGATGGTGACGGGTTCGCAAGACAAGATACTTCGTCTGTGGGACTTGAAGACAGGTGTTGTGTTGAAGAAAATGGAGCGGCATAGCGGCCAGGTGAAGACATTGGCAGTGTCACGGGATGGGCGATTGATAGCAAGCGGTGGTGAGAATGGAGAGCTCGTCGGCTGGGATGGTAACACCGGTGAACCTCTCACTCGAGCCATCAATGCACCCGTTGCGGGCCGCCAGGGCAACTTCGGTTGGATCATATCGCTGGACTTTTCCCTAGATAGTGCAGTGCTGGCCACCTGTTCAAACGACCATGCGACATTAACGCTGTGGTCTACACAAATATGGCAGATTCAAGGACATATCAAATGTGACAGTCCAGCTGTCTCCGTTCGGTATTCGCCAGGCGGCGAACATATTGCCATCGCGACAGCCAACGATATCCAAATATGGAAACCAACCTTCAGACATTCAAGTTGGAACGCGAAGTCTGGGTTTAGCTTCCAGGCAGTTGCCAACCTTGTGACCAACTCATTCATATGGACCCCCGATGCACTCGCGTGGACTCCCGATGGCACACTCGCATGGACTCCCGATGGCACACGCCTTCTGTCATCGGGTCAAGATGCTGATGATGACTCGACCATATGGGTGTGGGATTCATCGACCTGGAAGCGGGTCGGTGATCCCTGGGAGGGTCATTCCAAAGGTGTCAGAGCCATTGCTCTGAACTCTGATGGCACACTCGTTGCTTCTATATCTGGGGACAACTATGTCCACCTCTGGCGGCTCTCCGATCGGGCGAATTATCGCCATATTCAGACACTCTGGTGAAGTACACTGCATCGCGTTCTCCACAGATGGCAGGCACATTCTCAGTGGAGGCGCGGATAAGAGGATCTCACAGTGGCTAGTGCCCATATCTGCTTTGCCGCGAGATGATCCCACGGAACACGCTACGACACACCCAGTAAGCTTGATTTCAATTTTCGGTCTCTTCTCTGTCTAATTTCGCGTCAAGGCGGAAGACTCTGATTTTAAGGCATGTAACCCACCTTTGATTCCTTGAGCAACACGAAAACATGCCTCATGCAGATCCTCGTGATAAGCGAGACAGCCCGCAATTTATGCGTAACTGGAGACCTGCCTGCCGCTGAAAAGTCACTAACAAAAAAGATCGAAGCTGATACCAATAACTACAACTTGTATGCCAATCGCGCGTTTGTTAAGGCACGAAAGCTCGACTGGGACGGAGCGCTTTATGATGCAATTAAGGTAAGGTTCACAGACCATCGTACTCGTCACCATTCCTTCACATAGGCTAACTCGCGTGTTCATATAGTCTGTCAGCATTCAGCCTTCACTGAATGGCTATATCTCCAAGGGGATTGCTCTTTGCGGAAAACAGCAGGTTCGGGGCGCCAGGACAGCTTTTGACGTCGCATCCGTATTTGTGCAAGAGAATTCCAAGAGCACTCGTCATCTTCTCTTGATCAAGGCAAGTATAATTTTTCTTACATCCTCCGTGCTTCCATCGTGGTTTTCGAAGGCCATCGCACTATTCAATGCGGGCGAACATCAGGAAGCGTTGCTGCTCGTCGAAGAGTTGGCTACCGCTTGCCCCAATATTGATCCTCTCGTTTGTCGTATCATTGAAGTGAGAATCCTTCAGTTAATGAAGCCCAGAATCGCTGCTGACATTCATTTTTCTTCGCTTCGTTTATCAGGCACATCTACATGTCCAACTGGGAACCATTGCTTTGGAAAAAACACATTACGCCGAAGCTGTCGACCACTTCACTACCGCTGTCAACGCTAGCGCTGCATTTTCCAATTCACCAATTGAGTTGATGTATGAGGAATTGGGCGTGGTACGTTGACATGATTCAACTGAAACTTCTTTTCACGCTCAACTGCATGTTTTGTTGCAGCTCTTCGGGTGGGATCTCAAGTCCTTGTGGCAGACCACAATACAGAAACGGTGCCATGCGCTCCTTCTGTCTGGCAGACTTGGAGAAGGCCTCGAATCGTACCGATCCATAATGGGAATGAATGATGAAACTACGAAGGGCAGCTTGCTTGCGTGGTTCGCCGGTAAGTCTTCAGTAATGTTACCTATAGTACGGTCCTCATCCACCTTTCAATCAGCTATCAAACAAGAATAAAACGCACGATATTGATGCAAGAAAATCCCGCTCCTCGTCGCGAGCAGTTCTCCTGCATTTTGAGAACTTTGTTGTAACGTCAGGCTTGAGGATGAGTCGAGGTATTGGGAGATTGCCGAGCCGTTCACAAGTACGAGTAATCGGTATGGAATTATAAGTTGCTTACTATATAGGAGATGAATGTTGAATGCTGCCATATCCCGAGTGCACGCCTCACTGGCAAATTAGCGCTAACGTCAAAGCGGACGTAAGCAGTGCACAGATGGGCCACAAGTCAAAGCAACCGTTCGGGATTAACAAACTTTAGCGGGTGCGCATATTTGCACGGATGAGTTGGATGAGCCCTGCTCCTAACTTGACGTTGATTACATTGGCAGTGGTTAGTCGAAGTCATGGTGCAGAAGACTGGGCCGCTTGAAGCTTGAAGAATAATATGACTGGAACGCGCGAGTCGGCCTGACTGGCCTGGCTCCTACTATCTAAGCAAAGCAGAATACGAGGCTGCAAACGAGTCGAGTACAAAAGAACTGTGGTGAACATGCTAGTCGACAAAAACACGAGATAATAGAGTATAATACGAAAACGAGATAGCTGGAGCGCAAGAATACGAGGATCATTTCTACAAACAGCATCAAAGAGGATCGCAGATCAACAACTGTGAATATGTACCAGACGACAGCAATACGACATAGAACTACACACCGATATGAACGAAAACCATCCTCTGCTCAAGCGGCACTTTCGTCTTCACAGTGTGCGTAGCACGGTTGAGCGCCCAGGCCGCCTTCGTGCAGTCCATGACACCACCATCCTCCATATCAGCGAACAAATTCCTCGTAGAACGCTTTGACAACGTGTTTTGCGACAGCATCGTCGACCTCCCACAGCGTGCCAATGACGCTCTTGAACCCCGAAAACTGGAGACCAGCTGCAAGGTGAATCACTTCGTCGGGCGTCTCCTTATCGCCGACGGCGGTATGACACGCGGATAAGAATGCGAACTCAGCATGCGGAATATGTTTCTCCATGATATCGAGCAGCGTCAGATGCTCATCTCTCATGACGAAGTGGGAATTGTAAGGCTGCGTAGGGTCTTGCTTCCCATGGCAAGCGAGGTGCACCCAGGTGTTCTCTTCTAAAGCTTTGAGTGCACCTACTCGTGTGGCTGCGTCACCAGAAATAGTGGTGCGGTTGGCCGTCGCAGGGACGAGCTTACGGACCAGCTCGAGCTCACTGTCAACAGACAAGAGCGCCTTGCCTTTCCCTGCTCCCGGTTGACCCTGTCCGATTGTAACGAAGGACGGAGTGACACGCTTCTTCATCATCTGTCTGGATCTGACCAGAGCGGAAAGTGTCGGCGTGTAAGAGCAGATGTAGATATCCTCCAGGCATGGCTCCTTAGAGCGATCTGCGTTCGTTTGAAAGGGATGAGCTGCATGGAGAGGAATGGACGTGAAAGCTGCAGTTGGACACAGCCAGATTCGAGAGCCGCGCTTTAGCTTAAGGACATGCTCGAGTACGTTGACGATAGGTAGCATAATCTCATTCCATACTGTCCGCAAGAGTACTATCAGATCATTCCGTGGCACCTTTGGGCCATGATAGATGCGTGTCGTATGGCCCTGGCGAAACGCTCCTTGAGATTGTTCAGATCTACGAGAGTGACAGACGGCAAGGGAACATGACGAGGCTCTCCTGACGTCGGGACGATGATGGCGCTGCACGAATATTGACTGGCAATGAGGATGATAGCAGGGCCCTGGCGTGCTGCGGCTTGCAAGTCTGCGTATGACGGCGGGAGCAGGAAACCGCGAGAAACCTTGGAGTTTGCGTATCTCAGCTACCGCAGCTTCCCATTGCCTTGTAAGTCTCCTGTGCTCGGTTTTCTGCTCGATCAGCAGCAGCACTGTCGGCGATGGTCGCAGAGCTCTGAGCGGCATTAGAAATGCGCCTGCTCAGGTCCAAATAATTGTGCGCCAATTTTGGATTTGTTGACTGGAGGTCTTCAACTGGAGTCTTGAGTCGAGAGGCCAGCGACCATTGCTGGCCACGGCCGTGCTCCACGAGTTCCACTGCGTGTCGTAGGTTGTCACGGCGGATGGCACATGATGCTGCATCTACAGGCAGTGATCTGGCACTACTGAAGGCAGTTGCAGCTTCACGTCGTGAAATAGTTGATAATCGCGTTGCCAAATGGGCGTCAAGAAGGTCGAAACATGTATTGTAGGCCTCCAGTACAGATATATGACTGTGTTGCTCTGCTGCGGTGACCCAGTTCTGGGCTGTTATAATGCGGCGTGGAAAGCCCTGAGTAGGGTGCCTTGATGCGAGTCTAAAGTTCTCAATAGCGAGCGATAAATCAGCAGGGTCATGTAGAATCCGGTAACGAGCTAAATAGGCCCCTTTCAGCCATGTGTAGCTGAACCATCTGTCCGGGTGCAGTGAAGACAGAGCCGCCAATGACTCTCGGCAGAGATTAATGGCCTCCTCGATATCTTCATTATCCCGAGTTTGCGTGAAACGAGAGCAGAGCGACGCGCTCAAATTGGAAAGATTTAGATGGCGCTCTGGATGGTCATGCCGCCTTACCCGAAGGGATTCGCGATACCGATCAATAGCCTCGTTGAGATCCTCAATGACATGCAATTTGTCGTATCTGGTGACGAGCGCGAGGCCAAGGTTGTTAAGCGTGGTATCACGATGTGGATGCCCAGGTGGGCGCAGTGTCAGTGCCTCGCGATAGAGGCTGATAGCTCGGGTGATGTCATCAATGTCTTTGCATCTGTTGAAACGGCGGACGAGGGCGCGCCCTAGGTTGTCCAATGGGATATCACGATATTTGTGCCCAACAGGGCGCATGCGCAGCACTTCTTCGTACAAAGAGATAGCCTCATCGAGGTCATTAGGTTTGCCTTGGTGATCGAAGCGGGATACGAGTGGCAAGGCCAAGTCATTCATGTAACCACTACAGTCAGGATGTCCTTCGGAAAGTAGAGAAACGGCTTCACGACCGAGTCTTATGCTCTCATCTAGATCATCGATGCTGCCACATTGTGTAAAGCGCGCGTAGAGTGATCGTGAAAGCTTGTAGAGTGCTCTGGGACGGTGTTGATGGCCCAGAGGACAGAGCTCGAGGACAACTCGTCGAAGGTGGATGCCTTCATCAGATGCATCTTCTGGAAGATTGTTGCATGTGACGATCACATAATCGACACCATTTGCCCCTGCCGCGATGCTACGAAGGTAGGTGCCCTCTGGACAGAGAGGCAGTAGCTCATGATACAGTTTGGCGGCTTCGCGGATGTCGGCAGCAGTACTTTTCTTGTTGTGGCGCCAAGTCAGCGCTTCGGTGAGATTATATAGAGATAATGGATGATCGAGATGGCGCTGCGGACGCAATGCAAGGGCTTCGCGGAACAGGGAAGTGGTGGTATCAATGTCTTGAAGATCCTTACGAATATACCCCTGAAGGCGCGCATACGCAAGGTTGGTGAGGGCTGTTGCGTGGTCAGGATGGCTGACCGGACACTGGTCTAGAACCAACTGAAAATGCTGCACTGCATCGTTCAGGTGAGAGACCGTCTTGCTCGTCACATATGCGGCAAATTGTGCGTGGCCCGCATCTGTGTCTCGAGCGATCTCGCAATCTACGAGGGACTACAGTTGGTGTTCTGTCAGAAAAAGCTAACAGTCGAGACCAGCGGCACTCACATCAGACGGTTGCACCATCCTGATTGTCGCAAGTATGTACAACGGCGGCCTTAAGCGTGAGGGAAGGGTGGACATCGCGAACGGGTGGGAAGGACAAAACTACGAGATGTTAGTATATGTGTATGAATGACGAGAAAATCACTCACCGAAAGGTTCATCTCCATGATCGAGTAGCTCATCTGACGACATCTGAAGTTTCCCGATGACCTCTCCACTGCCTAGCATTCGACCGACCTCATAGGACGCCCAGATCTCTATTGATAATGTAGGTGAGGCATGGGATGATCTAGAAACCGAAGATTAGCTCTCGCATCGCATCGGAAAGTCTCCATAGACTTTACAGAGTCACGGTGTCGTCCCACGCTGCAGATCCATCAGATGAGGAGACACTGACCGGCCGATTTACAGCGTCTCCGGGAGTCGACATTGATGGATATGTAAATCCCTGCGGGAATGCGCTCGGAGGGGACTTGAAGATTTTGTCCGCTGATGACTGTAAAAAGAGAGTGAGGATCACGAAACGGATACAAATGTGATATGGAGCGACCCACCTTCAAGTCTGATATATCGGCCCTCTAAGCTACCAGGCATGATTGCGCGATGAAGCCAAATAACAAGCATTGAGGATGGACTGAGTGGTGGGCAGAATGGGTGGGAGGGGGTGGGGATATGGGGACTGTGGATGTTGTTCGGCTGAGGGAGAGGAGGAGAGGTTGAGGGTTCACGTTCAGGCCATGCTACACGTGTATTTCCATGTTGTCGATCGCAGTTCGGCACGATAGACGCTGGTACGATTGCACAAAGCGCTAAAATGGGGATTACTTAGTAGGATTAGCAGAAGAATATGTGCTAAAGAAGTTTAGACATTGTCATGGTCAGTCTTCAGCGAAAGTGGCCCGCAAACGTTGAAGGGGATATGCGAGTCTCAGAGTATCTTGTGATAGTTGCTGCTCCTGGAGTTGTATGGTGTAGTCGTACCACTCATTTAGCATACTTCGAAAGCAAAAAGTAGAATCGAGTGTATTTCCTAAGGTAATGGAAATAAGAACAATACAAACTGCTGAACCGGCGCGCACAGAAAAGTCGAATGATTCCATACGACTCGTCCAATTGAACTGACAGTGAGGTGCATTGAGCGTGAGAATGTTGTGGAAACACCAGGGATGGTGAATTTGCGAGAACAATGAACATGAAATTCGGATTCATGGAAGTGAATCCGAGTGACGGGACAGCGACCTGGAACAAGAGTCAGCTAATGGCCACCAAAAACGACAGAATTACTACTGGGCAGCCCAATATCAACTTGTGTAGGTTGAACAAGTCTTCGGTGCTTCCCTCTAAGTTCACTGACTACCAGTGCAAAAGCCAAACAAGTCCAAATCCTTGACTCGATTTGGACTTGACTTTCATCATGGACGAGTCAACGCCTCCAACACATATACCAGCTCCCACCACCTCCATCAGCACTAACAGGAACACCGCCTGATTTCTTGAAAGGCGTGGTCAAAAGGTCATCGTGCGTCTTACATCAGGCGTTGATTATCGAAATATCCTTTTCTTTTCCTTGCATGAATCTAGAGCCAAGCTTACATGTGCTATATGTAGGCGTTCTCCTCGTGTCTAGATGCATACATGAACATCGTGCTGGAGCAGACTGAGGAGAATGTTAATGAGATGGTCACAAATCGATGCGGGGACACATTTATTCGCAGGAATAATGGTAAGTCGTTCAAGGATGTATGGCTGGACATGTTATGTTCTGATGTATCCTCCTGTGCTAGTGTAGTACATATCCACTACGGAACTGCTATATTCGCAACGCTGTACTGCACGAGCATCGCCAAAATCTACGAGAGCAATATATGACTTTTCATGTAAGACGTGACTTCGTTCCTGTACTCTCGGCCTTTGATTTCTAGACATCACTCAATGAAGGATCTATCGGCGGATCTGCGCAGTGCACATCTCATCATCGTTGTGGTGGATGGGTGAGGTTTGTATCGAGATTTATGGCTCCCATTCCATCGAGAAAATTTAATTTCTCCTTCACAATACATTCATCGCTCAGAATAGTACTACGTGCCAATCTATGCGGGTAACGCCATGCTCCTGGAATCTCTTATAATGTGACTACCAGGAACATGGAGTTATCCGCAGTCACTTTGGGTTCGCGTGAGATACGATTTGTACACTGGGTAAAGTATATACACCCCAGGGAGCGCGTGGCTGGATAATGCTACATACAAAGCGAGCAGCCGTGCACGATGTGTACTCATCCCCTCTGCACGATCTCAAATCCCTAATGACGCCTCCACAGCACATCTTTCACAAACGTTCCAAAAGTGCTCCCATCGGTGACAGCGACCTCTCTCGCTCTAGCCAGCACCATCGCGTCCAATTCAGGTATCAAAAACCCCTTCAACGGGACCTGGTCATACGGATTGATCAATGCGTCGAGGGGGAGTCAGGCGGAATGTGAAATCAGAAGGTTTGAAGATAAATCGAAAAGAGTAGGTCTGCCGCAAGATTCTGGGAGTCAGTAGCGATATAAAGAGGAGCGTTTGGTATTTACAACGGTGGTGAGGTATACTGAGGTGCACGACACCGGATCTTGAGTTTGAATGTATGCGGGAGAGGAGGCAAAGGCGGATGAGGTACCCTGAGACAGGGTACATCCGGTTGGATAAGCGGCGGATCGTGGTCCTCATCGAAAGGACTGAGCTACTGTTCGAGTGCCAGAGTATCTTAGAGATCTAGTGCACAAACAAGGTGCATGAGTTTCCACCAAATTGTTCTTGCATTATCAGCGCTTCGTTGTTCGAATCGGCTATCCGTGACACGAAGATGCGCACCGATGTAGACAGCCCAACACTTCATATATTGTATCGGCCACACGAGACAGACGTAGATTCGTAAACGCCATTCCGGTCCTTACATCTCTGCGCACGCTCTTACTCACACCCTGTCTAAGCCTAGGCCTCGACGACCCAAATGACGTCTCCATCTGCACCAATCTCTGGGGTGCCTAAGCAAGTGCCAGGATGTAGATGGGATAAAGATACTTGTCCCGCGTAGGCGATACATTATCAAGCTTCTCCAAGAACCGAAAATCGTAAGGGCTGGAGTCTTGCAGCGTCAATGTGTCTGCTTCAGATATATTTTCTCACATATTGTGCAACTGGCCTTCCGTCACATTGGATCATATTTGCTCCAATTTTCTCTCCTATTGCTTGTGGATCGACGAGGCGATGCCATGCGATGGAAGTCCATTCTTCATATCCTAATCATTCGTCGGGGGACGTTTGGAGGGACGAGCGGACAGTGTTCAAGCCTGGTTTTAGACCCAAGCACGAGGAAGCGTCTTAGTTTTTCAAATAAAACATATAGAATTGGGTTTCCAAGCTATAGAAAATGAACAAGAAGAATATGATTAAGTTGTTGAGCGAGTACGAGCTCGTTCTCGAGTGCGATGCGTCGGTTGTATAATCCGCTGTAGGGGAAGTAGGCGAGATATTTGGTCTCAGGAGCGGGTGGGTTTGCTTTTGGGAGGGCGTCAGCGCGATGCGGGTGGGGTTGTGCATAGGGAGCGAACCTGGTGGTAAATAAGTGATACGCGAAGAAAAAGCATGCGACTGATGCAAATGCTAGTACGGCGATGAGGATCGCGAGTTTTCTGTTTGGGGAGTGGGATGGCGGTTGTTTGGCGCTCAGTAGGCTTTGGCTGAGGGAAGAACCTGGTCGCGAGCTGCGTGGTGCGCGCATTCGGTACGCGCCTTTTTCGAGCGTGACAGACGGAGACTGGAAGGTGTATGCTGTAGACATGGTGTTAAAGACGACGCGTTGTTTGTGTTTGTTGATTTCAAAGGCGCCAGTACTGAGTACTATACGCGAGCGCCAAGAATCCTGTTTCACGCACTAAACAACTCCAAGGAGCCGCCGACATATTTTTTTTTATTCTAATGACTATGGCGCAGCACCGGATTTCCTTCAAAATAAACAACAACACACCCCTTTACTACAGGGGTATTTAGCACACTTGCCCAAGCTCACTGCAATTCACCAGTGCGTCCCGCCGTTTGCTTTAAAAGTCAGGTACCAGATACTACCAGATATGCCACTCCAGACAGACATCCCGTTTCCTGAAGAACCCCTCACTCTGTCTAAAGAACAGGATGCCGGATTTTTTCCTGCTCGTCTTGGGTTGCAGCTCAACAACTCTTGCTATAACAATTTTCAGGAAGCTAGGGAGAGGGGAATTTTCCTCTACTTGGTTGGCTTCAGATTCTGAGTAAGTCTAGTTGTTCACACAGGTGTCACAGAGCGCTCAATTTTAACGTTCGTTCCCTCAGAGCGGAGGAGATGTTAAGATACTGTGCCATCAAAATTCTGACCGTTCATGATACCAAAGCTCATCATGATGTTCGTCTGCTCGAGCTGGAAGTCATGCAAACTAACGCTGGACTGACCATGACATCCTTTCTGCCTCGCCTCCGTGACCACTTCGAGATAAATGGACCTCAACGGTCAACACCTCTGCCTTGTTCTCCCTGCTCTCTGTGAAAGCGTGAATAGCTTAGATGTTCGGCACCCTCGAAACTGCTCTACCCTCCAAAAGTTAAGATTATTGTTGCTGAAGTCTTGGAAGCCTTGACTCGGCTGCATGCCGCAAATATCATATATACAGGTAGGCACAGGAATTACCCTGACGCAACATATTCATGTCCTTTTCCCTCGAAACAGATCTCAGGCCGGAAAATGTTCTGTTTGACGAAGGAACGCCACCCAGACTATTCAGGAACTTCTCATTCATACTCCTCAGATCATCGACGGTGAATTTGAATTGAAAGGCGCACGTTATCCCATCATGCGGTCGCAGCCTATTCCTCATCCTTTTCGGTGGGACGACCCCGGCATCACTGTAGAACTGTATTCAGTTTGTGTGACGGGTTTCAGGAAAGGCAAGTGTTATCTTTGTGTCTGTTATCGATCATCAGCTCACATGTCTTCTTGCAGTGCAAATGACCAATGCACGACCTCCGAGTCCAACGAGAACAATAAGTTCATATGACTTGCGTGCACCAGAAGTTATCCTGGGGGCCGACTATAATGTCAAGGTAGACATATGGGCACTCGGATGCATGGTATGTTCAAATTTCTGGCAGTCATGTTCGTACAAGTCTTATATGCATGTGTTTAATATAGACTTTTGAGCTTCTCACTGGAAGTACGCTGTTCATTCCACAAGCAGGTCAAAGTATCGAAGATGAGCATTTGGCAAAGATGGCGCAGATGACGGGGGAGAGTTTCTCAGAAAAGATCCTCGCGAAGTTCCGGAAGCGCAACGAGCACTTTGACGAGAGCGGTCAGTTCACCTTTCCTCGTGGCATTTGTTTCATTTCCATTAAACGTGGTTGGCTCATTTCAGGGAAGTTATTGCGTATTGAGCAACTATCCTTGATGACTCTCGAGAGCGCAATGATCGATCACGGTCTGCCGGAAGTAGAAGCGGCTGCTGCTGCAGCGTTCATCTATGCGTGTTTGCACTTGAATTCAGAAGAACAATCTTCGACCAGTGGCTTGCTCAAACATCCATGGATGGAGTGTGCATATATGTACTGCCAGTGTTAGCCTATCATTTCTGCATTCTAGTATTACAGGCACTGGGCACGTTAATTCTTGAACAATGATAAAGAACTCTCGTGCTACACACCACCGCCAGTTGATACATGCACGTGCTCCTGGAAAACAATCGAAGTCATACTGGCACTCGCATTTGAATCGGCTATGAACCTAGTATGATACTCTCGAACACTAAGGATCAGGCGTGGTCCCAGCACAAACATCTGGATGACCATGAAAATTTGAAGAAAACTAAGATAAATCTGAGTTTCCGGGGAATATTTATCCTATAGAAATGATGAACCGTAGCCCCATGCAGAGACCTGGGATGGAGCACATACCGCTGAGATCATTGGTGACATATAACCGATCTTGAGGCAAGCAGCAGGAAGCATGCTAGCATGTGCATAACTTCAGCGAAAAGAGATGATCACATTCATATTATGAACTCACCTCGCAAAGTAACCCACGTGAGTTTTCAACAATACTGTAAAGCAGTCCCTTATAATTCGTCCTGCTGATTGTTTTTGTAGTTCACGGAAGTGTTTTACAGCGATCCGGACGGCGAGACACAGTGTGAGGACCTCCCATGCACTGCCAAGTATCCAACATATGGAACCCAGAAGGACCACATCTCCCTCGAATTCAACAGTGCACCGATATGTCCCGGAGAGAATAAGCTCCTCTGGAATTCGTTAATGAGCTGGATGCACTTTGAAAGTTTGTCATCCATAAGTAAACTCACCCCTGAAGAATGCTTCATTGTTATTACGCCTACCACTATAATGGCAAACAGCAACAGCCAGGAAGGCGACAATGAGAATTATCAGCACCTTTCTGGAACATTGATACATGGCGTGCAGCCGAGTGACCACAATGACTAGCATGATGTTTAAGCCAAGTCAATATCACTGACTCGTATTGCAGCTGTATATCTCACCCTCCAGCATTGTAATCACAATCACACCTATCCAATATAGTGCGACGTACATAATCTGGCCTGAAAAAATCTAGTTAGCGCTTGACCTCAGACGATCACATACTTGTAGCAGACTCACAGCTGTGGTAGTCATTATGTTTGAACTAAAAAGCTGGTCAAGAATCTCACTCACCCCTACATTGGGGCACAGTTGATTGGACGGGAATTGCAGAGATCGGCACAGAACACTCACTACATCTGTCACCAAGATTGGAAGATTCGCTGTATGGCGCGGGCCAGTTAGAAGACAAAAAATATGTTGAATGCGAGGAGACATACTAAGTATGTTGATACTGATCATGAGAGATAACCGGTTAGCACGATATCATTTTCTTAGCCTTCCATACTTACACAGCATGAATTATTCCAAAATAGCGTATCTAAGATATCTTCGAGTCAGCACAACTTGGCGATTACACTATAATGCGAATTACACACGCTGAGATACAGAAAAGCCATCAGGGACCAGCGTTGCCCCTATTACGAAATAATTATATTTTCATGTTGTTCTTCTGACTCATGCGGGACTCTGCTCACCCAGATCAGTTCGACCTATATAAACCATTCTTAGCGAGCTAGCCACTCTATGACTGATGACGTCAACCTACCTCTTGTCCGAATGTCAGTGCTTGAATTTTATAAGGATATCAGTGGTTCTGTAATACTATATTGCTCACCCCCAATCATACATCACCCCGACAGAGGAGGCAACTGCGAAACCACAGCCAAGGTTAGATTGACGCATGACCATCTTCATCTATGATCTAACAAGGTCTCCACGAACCTGCAAAATAGCTAGCAATGTGGCTCGCATTGATGGACGGCCACCAACTAGGATCATTTGAGAGTATGGTCATACTATTTTAGACTGAGTATGAGGGAAGTAACGAACTTGGTAGGCATGTGGCGATGGTGTTTGTGATGGATATATCACCACGGGTCGCTTTTTTGACCAAAACAAGGGTCATAGGACATGCTACTGCCTTGATTGCCCGAAGTAAGTATTGCCGCATAAAGTCAAGTAGGAACTCAATCCAAGTTTCAGTGATGAATTTGCAAAAGTCACGGGCGGAATGTTTGAAGACCGCACAAGGTCGATGACCTAACACACGCCTAGCCTCAAAGGTGTGATGCGACCATCGGAGAGGCCCGCTATCTCCATGAGTATCGGCGCTCTCGACCTTGCTGGTCTTGGCTCTGGGAGCGTAATAGCTCCTTCAAGGTCACGTTTCTGCCAGTATGATGTCAGTCAGAAATGAATATGGGAGATCCATACAGAGTAAGCAAATAAATTACGTCCCACCCGAGCTGCCAATACATCATTCCAAGAAAACCCTGAATGTCGAATCACCTTGCTCCTTGATGACGAGTCCTCATTCTCAGCATCTGTCGCAATGCGCACCTTCTAGCTAGACCCTGCCCCAGTCTTCGGTCTGTGATATCGTAACTAGGATGTCAAAAGTAGTAAGCGTAGAAATCATCTGATGCGGTGATAAGACTTGATGATGCCATCAATTTTTACATGCTCACAGTTTAATACATCCCGGTTCATACCAACAGCTTATCATCTGGGATTGATATCGGGTGCATAGTATACGGCGCGATCTGAATCACATTATTGTAGTCGATGTAGAAGGGCCTCCACTCCGAGTCGTACTAGAGATCCGTCTGTCAGAAACAGTCAGCTGCTTCGCTTCACAGTGAGACTGCCATACGCAGAAATGACGCATCCGAACCAAGCTGTATCGAGTTAAAGTCAGAATTCGGTGGTTAGCACTAGCTGGTAATACCAATGCCAAGGTATGTGTTAATGCTGGCGGCAGGGAGCGACATGAAACAAGGATGCTCAAGGTGTTGATGCGATGATCTCGATGCTACTAGTAGGAGCGCACCAGGTATAGTAGGTCGGACCGCACTTTAAGGTCCACTAATGGGTATGTAAGAGTTAGGGGGGCCGTGCTCCACGGGCAAGATAGAAAAAAGAAGGTCACTGAGATGGTATCAGTGAGATGAGGTGGAAATGTACTTTGAGTGTGTGGCTGGCATGCTAGCCGCCACTCTGAAACTGGGAAGGTGCATAATTTTTACTTGTAAGCTTTAGATATGACTCGGAGTCATGCCGGTTTGTGTTTATTGAATTCAAAGGCTCTTGCCAAATCTATCTAGCTTACTTTATGTAATTTAGTACGTTCACATGTGCAATGAGCTCTTCCTCAAGCGCAGCCATTTCCAATATGGTAGGACAAATATACTCTTTCTGGGAATGAGAACACGAATCTCTACGTTTTCTCCTTTTGCCCGTCCTAACTTATGATACTTATCATAAAAGCGGAAAGACCTCGATACTCCAAGTCCTCTTCGATGATCTCCCAGTCAAACAGACTTTACCTCGAGCCCACCATGCGCACTGCAAAGCATTTCATTGAGTGTGCACTCATCCATGACTTCTGCTTGTGCCTAGCACTGAACATCGTTTATCAGCACCGTGGAGATATAGGACTGTCCAGGAAATGTCACCGTCGACACACTCGGTGCATCTCTTGCTGAGTCTTCGTAATAGACATACGAGTAAGTGCACTGCATTTATCCGCTGACTGCTATCCTCATCCAGATGCACAGGACCCCTACCAACATCCTGTCTCAAATTCAAAGCTCGTAGAGTTCATAGTCGCTGCATGCCAAATCAACCCCGACATAAATTTGTAGTCGTACACAAAGCAGAAAGGCTTTAAGAGGACGACAAGATCGGTACGCCAGTCCCGCATACATTCTTTGTTCGGGACTGAAACAGCACGCAGAAAACTTCCGCCAGATACACGAACGCGTCATGGACCACCTCGTAGACGCCTCTCAATATCCATCTTGCCTCCATATATGACCATCCTCTTCGAGAGGCATTCTCTCGCGTGCTTCATAAACTGATCTATTCCCTGCCATATCTCGAAGAACTATTAAATGTCTTTTGCTCTGTATGTGCCTTCATTACCACTTGTCTTCACGGGTACTTCTCATCGCTCGCAGGACACAGCATGCCCAAAGGCTTTCCTATTCGATACATCCAGTAAAATCCACGTCGCAACAGACACCTCACCAGTAGATTAAGCCACGCACAATCTCTGCTGCGACTAATCTATCCATGCTCAACTCTTTTGGACCTCTCTACGGGTACGTACATATCATAATTTTCCCTCCCACCACTTAAACCATCCATCAAGTCAGTGTTCTGCCGGTCACTGACCACAGCGTTCGTTCAGTGAACGCAAAGGGTGGGAAAGTCACTGACCGTCGGCAACAGTCACCTGCCTGACTGTGAATTTGTAGGGTGCCATGAGTCCTCGTTTTCCTTATGTAGAAACGTAATGACGAGTCACAGATGGTGGTAAGCGCAGTACTTATTACTATCGTGCGTTGTAATAATCCATGCAGAGTCCTCATGCCTCGTCTATATATTCACGGCTCTCAACATACAATCCAGCACCCACTCTTTTTACTCATTCTCCACCTGCTCTTTACTCATTCTCTATCATTCGAAGTTCGAGCCGTCTCGTCAACTCAAGTCTCAAGTCACAGTGGCTGCTATCGGCAAGAAGAAAACTCGTAGTACCAGTCGAGGCTAGTGGTGGGCAGAGTTTACGGAGCACCCTGGCTATGAGAGCTCCGAACCAGCATCAATGGTCCAGCAGAAGGCCAAAGTGATCTGCACTAGATTACTCGAACGTCACATTGCAGCAGAACGAGCAGGTGATGAGCGTGGGGTACAGCTGGGATCGCGGGATCATGCACGAGATGAGTGCGCAATCACAGGAGCAGGTAATGTTATCTCAAATACTATCTATCTATTGCTAACACTTACTATTGTAGTATGGGCTACTGGCAGCAGGATCTGCAACGGATTTGGCTTGTTGCCCGTCCTAGAACACTCATGACCCATATTCGAGACTGTGATCTGCATGCCAAGAGCGTTCGGTCACGGGCACAAGGTGAACTTATGAATGGCTCACCCAACAAATCTGCTCGCTTCAATCAACTGATGCAGCCGGCGGCGGAACTGTCTGTGCCTCAGTTATACAGTGATTCCCCTCAGATCACAGCTTTGATACCACCCCATGTTCCCTCTTCTGCATCTGCATCACCGATGCTCGGTCTCCATATTCCAGGTTCTTCAGCATCTGCCAGTGGCTCCTTACAGTTGTTATCTTTACCAAGTCCACTAGCATTTGACTCTCGTGCACCCAGTCCTGCAATGTCTGATATCTCCCTTCTTCCGGTTCACGTTCCCTCAAAACGCCAACACATGAGCCATGCAGGGGCATACCGTTCTGTTTCACAGCCTGTGGCTCTTTCCTTGTTGCCTCACATTGGAGCTTGTGTCACAAATTCCAAATACGAACCATTATTTTTTCTTAAACACTCGTAAGACACACAATAAGTGCCCGTCACAAGCGCCTGTCATTAGCACTCAATCAGCGTCTGTACCCATAACCTTCACAAACCCTAACCCAAATTCATCCTTTACATTTCCGAACTTCTCTATTCCATTAGCGCCCACTACTTTCATCTCCGATATTCCTGATTACGATTTCCTTTCACAAGCGATCAAGTCACATGATCCTAGAACCTTCAAGAATCCTTGCACAGCAATTACACGTTCCATGACATCATAGGTGTAGTTATATTTAGATCATCGTACAATTCCTTTTCTATTTAATGATTGGCTAGTTAGTTCAGATTCAGATTCAGCCTCCGTTTCAATATATGTATATAGGTAGCTCATTGTAGTCAGTAGTTCTTCAGTTCAAACCTCTTGTGTATTAGCTCATTGCTAGCAATCCAGGACGTACCTGCTATTCTTTATCCTCTCGTTGTGATAACCTTTGTTTGAGTCCTAGTCTCTGCCCCTGCGTTAATTCGTTATAAGGGTTGTGACATTAGGTTTGAACTATAGGGGACTCTGACTCCACGCATTACCGCTTGCACCTTTTTCTCTTTGATCTGAGCATCCTGCGACTATCCGTGATCCTCAATCAAATAGAACCGTTACACGTTTTACATTGCCCGGCTTAACAGCTGTGACCCTTGATTCTATCACTCTCCCCTTTGCTCATTTGAGCGCATTCATACCTATCCACTTTCGTAGTCAGTAGTCCTATACCAGGCCCTGCCTTACACTGCAGCCGCCAGTATACGGAGGTGTTCACGACATTAGGCATTGTCTTACTACTTAAGGGTCTTATGTACAACGCGTGTATAGTGACAACACAACTATACAGGAGAAGACTTCTTGCCAGTCCTTAAGTACACGGTCTACAACTTTTCTAGTTTTTGTGGTAGATAACGTGTGAGTTCTTGGGAGGGTTTACTGACGTGTCCTCTTCTTGTTGTTCCCTGGTGGAATACTCGTAGATTCCCTAATGTTCTGATAGTAAGATCTGTTTCAATCTCATAGGTCGTGTCTCAACCTATGAAAGTCTGTCTCAACTTTGTCGTGTTCTCGTGTCTCCCTTCCTGAAAAAGAGAGAGTCTGTCTTAAAATACGTGAAGCCTAGTTAGAAAGCTGTTCTGGTGTTGTATACTCAACCCCTGTAAGGTAGTACACAACAAGTAATGAAGTCTGTCTTAAATACATAAAGCCTAGTACGAAAGTTGTTCTGGTGTTGTATACTCAGCCCCTGAAAGGTAGCACACAACAAGTAGTTTATAAATAGATTGTTATATAAGCGACCCCTGTAAGGTAGTATACAACTAATCTCTGATACGATGTTTATCTTACTTCAAGGCACTCTTGGCCTGCACTTTAAGTCTTACGGACTCTCATGGTTTGAGAGAAGAGTGAAAAGTGGGAAGTTATTATTACTCAGTGTAGAATGGGCTCCTTTTATACCTTTTTGGGAGGCCATTTTACTAAGCATGACTCATCACAGCATTAGTAAGTCACTGGCTTACTAACCATGCCATTTGGCAGTGCTGAATCAGCTGCTTACAAAGTAGTTTACAAATAAAGTTCATAATATTACAAAGCATGATAAATCATGACGAAGCATGACGAAGCATGACCAATCATGACAAATCTTTACAAATCAGATTATTGCCTATCACATGACATGCTTACAAACATATCTGGTGGCTCACTGAAGGATTCTGTGGCTGAATGAGCCTGAAAACAAATAGAAACAATGGAAACAAATGGAAGCCACATGACAAATCATGCAGGATCCTTACAAAGCAGAATATTGCCTATCACATGACATGCTTATTAACACATCTTGGTGGCTCACTGGTGGCTGAATAAACCACATAAAAGAAATGAAAAGAAAAGGGGAAAGGTGAAAACTATCATACTGGAAATATAAATACAAGTAAATCTGTCAAAATGGAACCAATCATAATAATACAATGAGGTACACCTTAGTGTACTCTCTGTAGCTACTTCCTGTCTATCAATGTCATGGTATGAGTTCCATACCATGCATGACAGCGTGCCACTACAACTTTGAGTGCTGGCCCAAGACCCTGCCTGCTCAACGTTACTATAACTTCCTTTTTACCTATCACCTTTTCTTCATATGATACATAGGCTACTCTACCCAAGTTTAGAAGAGTTGTCTAGCGATAAGTCCCACGCATATATCCTACCAAGGATCTAGAAACGCATCTAGTCGAGAACTGTCGCTTGTAAGCTTCGGCTGGAAGAGCGGACGTGTCCTTCTAGTGTGTTCCCTTGGAAAGTGTTTGCAAAAGGCACCTAGTTTCTCTCACTTGGTGAGTATAGTTGTTACATACAAACTCTTTGTAGTTAGTATCTAGGGAAGAGTCAGTTGGGTTTTACCAGGACCCTTTGACCCTGAAGTACGAGGTAGATCCGATCAGATATCGGGGACCGCTTCAGCTTTCCAGTTACGTACTCCTTTTTACCATCCTCCTTTTCACCACCATTCCCTATCGGATGAGCCGTTACGACTAGCTCATCAAATTCATCATTCCTTTTCGGATAGACCGTTACGACCAGTCTATCACCAGTCATTTGTGAATCGGGTTCCAGAATACAGCTGGCACAATGACAAGAAGAACCTATTCCTTGCAAGAGTTCAATACAATGGGAGAGGCGCTCAACGGAAAAACTTTTGTATGTTATCGTTGTGGAAAGCCAAACCATATTGCAAGAAATTGCAGAACTCCGTCTCCACAGAGAGAAACAACAGAACAAACTCATAACATTCCCGCGAAAGAAGACATTCTTCCAAAATGGTTCATAGAATCTTTGACTCATGGAGAAGCAAAGATGGAAGCACCCAAATGGTTCAAAGATTTGGCAGCAACACCACAAGGCAAAGAGTTTTTGGCAAAAGAGAAGGCCGAAAGAAATCAACCGCCAAAATGGTTTAAAGATTGGGTAGCCTACTAGGAAAGAAGAAATCCTAGAAGAACCAGTAGAAGAAGATGTGTCTGGAAGCAGATATTCGATTCCTATCAAACTTTGCGGATGTATAAGAAATATACTTACGATCAAAATCAGAACATTTCTACATTCCAATAACAGCTGAAAGGAAAGAAGAAGACTGCGGACGTTAGAGCCCTTGTAGATTGTGGGGCATCTACCTTATTTATTAACTAGGAAGTTCGTGTTGGACAATGACGTTCGATGTCGTAAATTATTAAAACCTATTCCGGTTAAGAACATAGATGGTTCTTTAAATGCCGACTGGATCGATGACTCATTTCGCCTGAACTAGGTCTAAAGATCGGTGATCATGTAGAAGACAAAGCAGCCTTCATGGTTACTGGACTTAGGGAAGCGATAATGTCATTATTGGCATTGACTGGTTAAGATATCATAATCCAGAAATAGACTGGAATGCAGGACAATTTTCAGTTATCTAGGTGTCCGCTTAAATGTATTACGAAAAAAGGAGCAAAGACAAAAAAATAGAGAAAACAGAAAAGCACAAAAACAGGCAGATGTGATTCCAGATCTGATTCCCACAGAAGAGGATGACGATGAGACATGAATACGAGAAAGGCGACATGTGAAGAGGTAGAAGATGAAGAAAGTCCTGAAAGATGGATTAGATACAAAGCCTCGGTCGCCACGGAGCAGAAGGTAGCAGAAGAAGCTACGAAAGAAGAAGAAGTCTGTAGAAGAGATGGTTCCAGGACTGGCTTCACGATTACCTGGGAGTGTTCTCAGAAGAAGAGTCTAAGTGATTCCCCGAAAGAAAGAAATGGGATCATCGCTGTAGATCTTAAAGATGACAATGATCTTCCTCCGAACGCGAAACCTTACCCCTTATCACCGAAGGAGATGGACACTTTGAAAGATTGGTTAAAAGCCGAGACTGCACTAGGGACGTATTAGAGATTCACAATCTCCAGTTGCAGCACCTTTCTTCTTTGTGGCCAAAAAAGATGGCAAACTGAGACCTGTAATGGACTATAGAAGGCTTAACGAGAAGACAGTTAAAAATGCGTATCCGCTACCGAGATCTCAAGACCTGATTGATGCCCTTACTGGTGCCACGATGTACTCCAAGATGGATGTACGATGGGGGTATAATAATATTCGGATGAAAGAAGGAGATGAATGGAAGGCAGCTTTCAAAACGCCTTTTGGTCACCACGAACCAACCGTAATGTATTTTGGGTTGACGAACTCTCCAGCAACTTTCCAGACCATGATGAATGAGATATTCAGAGATTTAATAGACGGCAAAACAGTGGTCGTTTATATCGATGACATCTTGGTCTTTACGAATGGAAGTAGAGAGCAACACCAGAAGGTCGTGCGAGAAGTACTCAAACGATTAAAAGAGAACGACCTGTTCTTGAAGCCTGAGAAATGTAGCTTCGAACAGTCTAAAGTCGAGTTCCTTGGGTTGATTGTGGAAAAGGGCAGTGTGTCTATGGACCCCGTCAAGGTAGAAGGAGTATTGAAATGGCCTGTTCCCAAATGCGTAAAAGAAATACAAGCATTCATGGGCTTTGCCAACTTCTATCGAAGATTTATACTTGGGTTCTCAGACATTGCCAGACCAATGAATGATTTGCTGAGAAAAGATGCCAAATGGGATTGGACAGAGAGACAGCAAAACGCCTTCGATGAGTTAAAGAAGCGTTTTACAGAAGCTCCCGTCTTAGTAATGCCAGATGTTGAGAAGAAAATGAAGATAGAAACTGACGCTTCCGATTATGCAACAGGAGCAGTTTTATCTCAACTGATGGAAGATAACCTATGGCACCCAGTGGCTTATTACTCAAAGTCGATGAATGATGCAGAGAGAAATTACGACATTCACGACAAAGAGTTATTAGCAATCATTCGTGCGTTGGAAGAGTGGAGGCACTACGTGCAGGGAAAACCCCAACATGTGGAGATCTGGACGGATCATAAGAATCTCGAGTACTTTATGACGAGTCAGAAGTTGACAAGAAGGCAAACCAGATGGAGTTTGTTTCTGGCGGAGTATGAATTTACGCTCCAACATAAGCCTGGTGTAGTCAATGACAAAGCTGACCGTCTATCTCGGAGAGAAGACCACAGAGGGGGGGTAGAAAACGATAATTCTGATCGCATTTTGTTGAAACCGGAATTTTTCAAAGTCAATGCTGCTAAATGAGGCCAAGTTGCACTACGTTAGAGAGAATAGTGCTTGCGACCGCATATGCATCAATCATAGTTGACGCAAGTTCTCATAGAAGGAGAAAGTTCGCTCATGAAAAAGATAAGAAAGAGCACAGAACGAGAGCCCAAAGTAATGAAAGCGCTAGAAATGCTAAAAGCAGCACCGGTACAATTGCGCAGAGGAATCGAAGAATGGAATGTTGAGGACAGATTGGTGTTATTTCGAGGACTGGTATACGTTCCAAACAATAGAGAGATCCGCCGAGAGATATTGGAGTTGTTTCACGACTCTCCACCGGCTGGACACCCTGGACGTGCCAAAACCTTAGAATTGATTTCCAGAAACTATTGGTGGCCTTCAATGACGAAGTATGTCCATGATTACGTAGATGGTTGCGATCGATGCAAACAAACGAAGGTGTTCCCCAGTAGACCAACGGGACCCTTACAGCCAAATGAAGTCCCAGAAGGACCTTGGCAAACGATCTCATGCGACCTGATAGTGGATTTGCCAAAGAGTGAAGGATGTGACAGTATATTCGTTGTCGTTGATCGATTTTTGAAACAATCACATTTCATTCCCACCACCAAAGACGTAGACTCGAAGGGAATTGCCGAGCTATTTCTACGAAATGTATGGAAACATCATGGTACACCAAAGAAGGTGATTTCGGATAGAGGAACACAGTTCATCTCGAAGTTTATGGGACAAGTATCAAACAGATTAGGAACGAAATGGTCTGCGTCGACCTCCTATCATCCCAGAACAGACGGACAGACAGAACATGTAAATCAAGAAGTTGAACAGTATTTGCGCATGTTTGCCTCGTACAGACAGAACGATGGGTATCTTGGCTGCCAATAGCAGAGTTTTCACATAACAATGCAGTCACAGTAACTGGTCACAGTCCGTTCAAAATCCTCTATGGATATAATCCCGAATTCACAGTATCTCCGAATTCTACATCCCTTATTCCCGCCGCCGATGAGAGAGCAGATCAGATGAGAGAAGCAAGAGATGATGCGGAAAATACTCTGAAGATGGTTAATGAACGCATGAAACGCTTCTATGACCGAGGAGTTAAAGACGCACCTCAGTATCAAAAGGGAGACAAGGTCTGGCTAGACGCAAAAAACATTAAACAATGTCGTCCAAGTCAAAAGTTGTCAGATCGTCGTCTTGGGCCCTTTGAAATACTAGAGAAGACCGGTGAAGTGAACTACAAATTGAAATTGCCAGAGAGCTACAAGATTCACCCGGTTTTCCATGTGGAAATGCTTACTCCATATTATGCATCTCAAATGATCCCTCACTCTCAACCCACCCGACCACCTCCAGACATTGTCGACGAACAGGAAGAATTTGTCGTAGAAGAAATATTAGATAGCCGACAATTCCGAGGAAAAGTGCAAGTACCGAGTAAAATGGGAAGGATATCCGATAGAAGAGTCGACATGGGAGCCAGAAGAAAACGTTAAAAACTCCCCGATTCTCATTGCGGAATTCCATAAGAAGAATCCCACGGCTGCCAAATCCAAACGAATTCTTGGATCTATTTTGGATACGGATGCATTCAAACAATGGAGAGAGAAAAATATTCGACCATCCTACATTCACGATGACGCTCACCCTAGAGAGAGGGTAATGTCACGAATTCCAAATACAAACCATTATTCTTTCTTGAACACTCGTAAGACACCCGTTAAGCGCCCGTCACAAGCGCCTGTCGTTAGCGCTCAGTCAGCGTTTGTACCCATAACCTTCACAAACCCTAACCCGAACTCATCCTTTACATACCCGAACTTCTCTATTCCGTTAGCGCCCACTACTTTTATCTCCGACATCCCTGAATTTGACTTCCTTACTCAAGCGATTAAGTCACGAGACTCTAGAACCTCCGAGAACCCTTGCACAGCTGTAACACATTTTATGACATCATAGGTGTAACTATATTTAGATCATCGTACGATTCCCTTTTCTATTAATGATTGGTTAGTTAGTTTACTCTCAGATTCAGTCTCCGTTTCACTATACGTATATAGGTAGCTCGTTTGTAGTCAGTAGTTCTTTAGTTCAAACCTCTTCTGTATTAGCTCATTGCTAGCAATCCTAAGACGTCCCTGCTCATATTCTCTTTTTGTTGTGATAACCTTTGTTTGAGTCCTAGTCTCTGCCCCTGCGTTAATTCGTTAAAAGGGTTGTGACAATGGCCCTGTGTAAAAGAATGCGATGGCAACCCTCACGAAGGGCGGGATGGGCAAAATTTCGCGTTTTCCCCTGGCAATCTTCTGTCAGTATAGATGCGATCAGTGCAAGATCACTCACCATTTCGTCCACCCCCAAACCGTAAAAAATAGCGATTCTTTGATCAAACCAGCAGCCGCATGTTCAATCCAAGCAGCACGTTCTTGAGCGGGGACCGAAAGCAGGGGAATGAGCGAATACGATAGTGGTGCAATGCTTATGGCAGTTTTCTTCAAGTCTGATCGCCAAGTTGAAAGATCGTCGTACAGCTTCAGTACAGACTGTCAGCGATATATTGGCCCAGAATGAGTTAAATACGCACCAACCGAGGACATATTAATTTTTTGCTCAGGCCAAACCCCTGCGATGACAGATTAGTTTGAGAACGAACGAGAACAAATGAGCACTCACCAGCTTCAAATTGTTCACCGTTCCTATCCCACATAACCAACGTTGCGATAAGAACTTCGGTGATTGATCCTGGTAGGTTCTTCACCAAGGCTGGAAACGGATTCTCCAGGGCATGTTGCAGGCGACATTCCGCTTTGGCAATCCTCCATAAAACGCTTCCAGCGTGGGCCATACCAAGATAGTTGATCGGGTGTTGGCCCACTACCCGATGCCTTGGACCTTTTGGCTCTTGATGGCTGAACGCTAGACTCGGTTTCTTGATTTAGCAGCTTGAGGGAGTCAGGGTCAGGAAGACGGGGCTTTCTGTTTTTCTCATGGTGGCACTGCAATACATCCTCGGGCTTCAAGGTAATGGTCTACTTAATTGTGAGCGCCAATTAGAACAATTTCTAATCTCACCTCAATGTGTTGGGACTGTTGCCGCTGTAGGCCTGGTGAGATGTCCTGAGGGCCCCTTGAAAGAAAAGAAATGTAAGCGTTGTCACAATTAAGTAACATGATCATACCTGAGAGCTTCGTTCCGCTGGACAAACAAAATGAAGTGAGTCGGTCTCAGCTAGACTAGAAAACTTACGGAGGTTTTATCAAGGCTCGTCAGGGCAACAACATCATCTTCATCACGTGAATACTGGAATTCAAATTCAGGTGTGAGTGGACGAGCGACTGGAGGTTGCGAAGGTAGTGCATCCTTTGAAAATCATATGATATGATTTAATGAAGGGAATCATGCTACGAAGATGTTTACCTGGATGTTCTTTCTGGCGGCCGGCCGGCCTCCCCCACAACCAAACTACTGCGAGCTCTTGCCAGTGTTCATCATTCTCCCCCTCTCTCATCATCCTCTCCGTCAGCCTCTCCGTCGGGCTCTTTGTTGTTGCTGTCGTCACTGTCATCGCTGTCGTTGATGCTGCTGCTTTTGGAGTCGCTGTCCTCCTCAGATCCTAGCAGCCTCAGATGACGTTGAGCCCTAACAGTGTCATCCTCCTGGCGCAGAGCTGGGTCTAAGTTGGCTCCAAAAAGACGGCCCTCTGGGTATGCTGCGATCGCTGCTCAGCGATAGCGTCCCGAACTCGTTTCTCATCGACTAGCATCCCGAGCTCGATGCTCAGCAATAGCGTCCTAGCTCAATTCTCAGACCAATAATGTCCTAGCTCGCTCAGCAATAACGTCCCTAG